AAGAATGGCTCACTATTGGCAAATACTTCTTCAAGTAGTAGAAGCAGTGTATGTCTGAAGCTCTCTTGCATTAATAGAATCTTTTCAACATCTTGCTTGTTTGTTCTCTGGATCAGCTTCTTGTATTCCTGATACTTGTTCTCTTTAATGAGAACATTGCAATTGTTTGGAATTGCATATTTATTTGCTTGTGCTGGATAATGTATGCTGACATGCATATTTGGGTGATTTTTAAAACTCTGAATTATCTTTGTCTTCTTCTTTGAATTGAAATTTTCTGCAATTGGAACATCTGTCTCTTTGGCATATGAATCAAGTGCTGGAAGCTCAATTGGAATAAGAGATGGTCTTGCACTGGTTATGAAAGCTGCTCTAGATTCTGCTTGAGTGTCTGCTGGATGAGTAGTCTCAACAGCTAATACAGTAGTGTCAATTAAACTTTGTAGATCTTGTTGGGCTGTTGTGATGATCTCTTGCAATCCTGTAGAGATAAATTGAGCTGGTAACTGGAATGTTAGAACAGAATTACTGTGTGCAATTCCAGCATAAACATAAATAATTAAATTCTTTGTTGATCTCCCAGAGTGATCTTTAAATGTTATGAGCATTATTTGTTACACTGCTGGATTTATCCATTCCTGGGTCATGTAGTATTAAAGAAGAAGCAGAATTATAATAGATGCTTGCATGTGCTTCTGTAATTGATAAGATTTCAAATAGATAAGTGGAGATTGAAGATGGGCCTATTTCTGATGGAATGGAAATTTCTGAAGCAATTTGCAGTATTCTTTTTGACCATGAGATGTAAGAATCACCAAAACCAATAAATAGTATGCCAGTTTTGATATTCCTGAAAATTTACTGTGACATGGGTCAAAAGAAAAGAAGATCATCAGATTAAGAGATGGGCATATTTTGAGCAATGCTGTCTGCTCTTTGGCCATTCCATATTTCTTACAGAGGCTTTGCTTTAAAGCTTGAGTTTCTGTAGAGTTGATTTTTTCTCTCTGCTACAGAATCTGAAAATAATAGTGTTCTTCAGTCATGGTATCAAAATTCATGTTATGTTGCTGATTCTCTGAAACTATGCAACTCTGACAAGACTGTATTGCTGTAGACTCTTTGATTCCAGCATTGGCATTCTGTTGTAGCATATCCCCAAGAAAACAGAGACAAGAGAAAATAACTCTAGTGACTCTCTTGCTAGAAATATCCACATCAATGCCCTTGTCAAGCAATGCTAGACCAGGCTTCAAGACTTCAATCACATTGGGAAAATTGGTTCCATGTGGCCTGAAAGTAATTGTATAAACATTGTTATGCTTGGCTCTCTTGGTAGATTTCATGCCAGCAGGTATCATGTAGAAATCTATAAGGCTTTGATACATATTGTGGTATAGGCTGAATCCATCAATGAAAAGTTGGTAGGGAAGAAATATAATCTTTTTGTTGTTGGAAAATGTTTGCTTCAATATCTCCCTATCATATGCCACTATTTCTAGCTCACCATGTAGTGGAGTGCTTATATTAAGCAGTCAAGCTTCCAGTGTTCCTGATTTCAAAGTTAGCACTCACCACATGAAATATTGGGCATTTGGAAGCTCATATCCTGAATTCTCTATATTGAATCCATAGTCAAGATATATGTTAACTTGGGAAAGAATATTGCCTGCTAAAACAAATGTTTCTTGGCTTTTAAGAGCAAGAACTTTATTTGGGTGGTGCTGTGGATTCAAATGGGACAATTTCTCACTGTAAAATGTTGGCATAAATTGATATACTGGTTGAATTCAGAGAGTGATTGCATTTTCAGCAAGTGGATTTAATCTTTTATCCTGACCAACAAATTGAACTCTCCCCAAATGATCATGGTTCATTAAGTCTTTATTACAGGGGCAGTCAGCATTGCAGCATTGGTAGAGAACAAAGTCAGAGAGAAATATAGACTTGCCATTATGGTAATATGCAAATTCACCTGAGAAGTATTTAATGGAGCTTCCCCAGCTTCAAGATTACCATAACTCTCTTGAGTTATCAACCAATTCAGCCATTTCTATATGCAGCTTCTTCCAGAAAATCAGTGATTTCACAAGTGTAGATATCAATGCAATGGGGTTCTGAAAATACATGTTTGTGTGCAATACTGCTTGAGTGAGTCTTTTGTCTGCATCTGATAATATTGCTATTTTCTTTAGAATGACAGACAGTGCTTTTTGGTGAATAGGTAGTATTGGAAATTATGACTAGCATCTCTTCTTTAATATTGACAGTCCAGTAGACATAAGTTTCAATGACTTGATATCTGTCAGATTCTGAAGAATTTCCCTCAGTGATTGGTATTGCTGTTGGGATATGCCTGTATGCTCACACCACAATATAAGAGACATTAGGAATTAATTTATTTGATCATATGCTTTGGCCTGTGAGTATGGAATAGCTTCTGATGATTCATTCTCAAGAATTAATATTGTCACTTGAGTATTCATTGGTCCTGAATCTTTGTTAATTTCTGGATCTTTATTAATTTCTGGATCTTTGTCAATTTCTGGATCTTCTTCAACTGGGATTTTGTTTTCTAGACATGACAATTCTGCATCAGCTGCAGCATCTTTCAATATTTCATGTAATTGATTGTCATTGTTGGTATATGCTGGACCAGCATTACCATTGCCAGTATCTAATATAGACTATGCAATATTAGTCTCAGCATTTAACAATCCTGATAAACAATTTTTCACACTATAAAACCAAATTTGTCATCATTGGAAATTGATGCCAAATCCTCCAGCTGCCCTGACTGTAGTAATGTCAGATGGATACTGCTTTCATGTTCAATTAACTGATGAATGCTCTCTTCACTTGCTTGACCCTGAGTCTGTTGTTCACCAGTAATTAAAGCATCATTGCTTGAATTTGAATCTTGAAGTGTGATTTTCTTGACTTTTCAGAGATTTGGACACAATATTTCAATGACAAGACTATTATTAATTGTATGAAGTTGTAAAAGAAATGTGTGGAATGCTTATAAGGTGAAGTGTCTTTGGTTACTCTTTCAGAAAGCAAAGATTATCTGTTACCTGTTAACAGAAAATGTGGGAGAAATTACTGATAGAATATGGAGTTGGGAATAATCACTTTCATACTGGGGCCAGGGAAGCTTGCAATTGATATAGATTATAGTATATCCAAAATTTTACAAGGGTTTTGAAGTTAAATTCTTCAACATGGATGGTGAAGCTTTCTTTTTCAATGAATTCAATATGAGTGATTTTGATGAGATTGCTGCTGCAGGAACCAATGCAGACATATAGAGATGGAATATGAAACAAGATAAGAATTCTAAAAAAGACAAAGAGAATAAGAAAAGGGGCAAGAAGTGCAAGTGAAGAGTTTGGCACCCTGATGCAGGAGAATATGAGAGAGAGAATCAGTTAAAGAAGAAGACTCTGAAATAATGAGTGAGATGAATGTATCTCACAACATTCAGCAAGGAAAAACTTCCCAAAATTATAGAGAAAGTATATAAAACAAATGATGAAGACTCATATGTCTTCAGTTCAGCAAGAGTGTCTGCCCTGGAGTTTTTAAAGAGCTGGAAATGTAAAATATTGAGGAAGATGAGTGTTAGTATATCATCTCTTAAATATTGAGAGATCTTTTACTGACTGCTAGCAGAAGCATGTCAAGAATGTAAAGAAGATTGACCACAAGAACAATTCTAATATTAACATGCACTGTTGCCAGAATTCCAACAAACTCTTTGCATATTTTGCAAAGCACTTTAATTCTGAAAAATTCTTTGAGATTTTCTTCTGAGCAGAGCCAATTATTGATTATGAGAAATCAAAGCAATTAGAGTAATGGTATATCAAGTATATATCAGAATTGAAGACAAGTATAAGATAATGAGCATGACTGATCTTGATTTAGAGATATACACCAATTTGGTGGTGCAGGTCAAACTGCATGATGATCTCATAGAGAAATTGGGCTGCAAGAAGAAAGCCATCAGGGTATAGTGGGAAATTCTTGAATTTTGGGACTATATGAGACAACATCTGCAATATGAGAATGTCAACAAAGAGGACTTTGCAGAAAAGAGAAAGAAGATTAAGAAGAAGACAAGAGCTTCAGCTTCTGGAGCTGATAAGTTAGTAATTCTTACAAAGATTTGATTTTCAGGTGAGGCTCTGCTGAAAGAGTGAACTGCAAAATGCTGAATTAGTGATGTGAAGCTCTCTTGGGGCATCTGCACATTGATTAGCATGTATATATATATAATATAGAATCCAAACCTGAGCAGCACCAAAGCTACAATAATCCTCACAATAATCTGACAGACAAAGCAGCTGTATAGTAGAAATCAACTTTTCAAGAATTCCCACCAAAAATCTGCTGGGGGATTGCTTGTCAGGGTTGTGTAGGTAATATAAAAATGAACATATCTAGTAGAGCACATGTCAACAAAGCCCTACCTAATTGGGGTGGCTCTTATGTATATAAATAACCCCTCCCACAACCCCTTCTCTTTCTCTTCTCTCTCTCTCTCTCTCTCTTCAAGCCTTTCTAATCTTTATTTCTCCCTCCCTCTCTCTCCCCCCCCTTCTTTTCTCTCTTCCATTGGTATTTCTTTTCAGATTCATTAATATACTTCAATTTGCAAAGATAGGTGATCTGAGATATATGAGATTAGCAAAAGCTGATGCATTTTGCAGAAAAAACATGTTAAAATGGTGAACATGTGTGGAATCCCAAAAGAGAACAAGCCAGGCTGTAAACCAAAAGATAAAGTCTCAGATAGGCCATCAGTATTCTGTCAATAATGTGTTACAGCATATATAACTCTGAAAAATCTTGAAAAGCTCTGTGATAATGTTCAAGACTCTGGCAATGCTTGCTCAAACTACTTACAAGACAAGAAGCATTGCTGTGACTTTTCTGAAACAATAATCAATCAGGTTCTTGAGTTATAAAGTGCATACTTCAAATGAGCAAATACAATGAACACTGTTATCAAGAATACTCACAAAGTGAGTGTTGTTGCTTTTGCTCAAGTTATTAATAAAGAGTTGAAAACTATTCTTGCAAATATGCTGAAAGAGACTTCTTCTGTTGATGATAAGCCAGATACATTAAATGATGAAGTTATTAAAGCTCTTCAAGAGATTTCTGTGATCTTGAAAGAAATTTGGGAAATTCAAGAGGCAAACTTCATTGCAGTCTCTGACATAAAGAATGCTCTTAATGTAAGTTCACTTCACATCTTATCTTTGAGACAAAGATTCTAACTTTCAAAAGAATATGCTGCAACTTATTAATTCAGATCTTTATACAGCTCTTGCTGCTAGCACTTGCTCAGCTCCAGCTGCAAATACCTTCTGTTCTTCTCATGCTGTAAGATATTCTCTTAGAATTGAATTGGAAAAGAGATCTAATGAGAGTGAATTAGTTAAAATATTCTTTTGATGGTGCTTCTGATACTAAAGCAAAAAGAACCTGCTTCTTGATTAACAAAAGCTCCTTGCTGCCATGAACTATTTCTGAAACCCCAACTTTAATCAGAAGCCTTCAATTTTCTCTATTTTCAACCAGTATGTGTGCAAATAATATTTCCTGAAATATACTGACTGTTTATTCTGACAGAGCAACAAAGTATGACACCAAAGAGTGTGTCTTCTTCTTATAATGTGACTCTGACACAAACTGTCTCTGCAAAGCCAAGCATGCCAGCAGTCAAAAATCCTGATGCCAATAAGAAGGATGCCAAAAAGAACACTGCTGACAACAAGAATGCTGACAAGAATGATATCAACAAGGATGCCAACAACAAGAATGCCAATGAGAAGGGTGCTGAAAATAAGAATGCTGAAAAAGCTGATGCAAATGTTACTTCTGATATTAGCAGTGAAGGATTCCAAAATTGGTTTTTTGGTTGGGGTGATCTGTAAGGTTGAGCAGTGGGAATTGTATAACTACAGTAGTTACCTAGTTTTCAGAATTAAGAAAAGATTCTTTCAATTTGAAATGAAACCCCCAATCTCATGGTTCAAATTTCAGTTATGTGTTAGAACTGAGCTCATTTCCTGAAAGGAAGCATTTTCAGAAGGGTAATAGAAATCCTACAGTGCTCCAACAGTTCTCTATTTGGATTATGGTTCTCGCATGATTCCTAATTAGGTTACTGTGAGATCTCAGAAACGTAAGGGTTTTTCGGACCAACGAAATCCCGATATGGCTGGATCTGGGAAATCCGCAAAGGGACTAGCGCAGAAGTCTGGAATTCAGCCACACTTACCCCACAGTGAGCTCATGGGCCAATCACATGCTCGGCAGCTGAGTGTGGGGAAGCAGGGCCGCGTACAGGGCATGTACGAAGTAATGAAGTACTGTAAAATAACACTCCGATACCAGCCTGTCTTCTCGCAGCGACTTCAAAACGAGCTTGTGTTCCATGACTTTTCGTTCCCCTTGTGTAACTACCGTACACCTGTATTGTATGTATCGAGCCCGTATGTCCTGTGCGGCCCTGGCGGGCGGTAACTTTTCACGTGCCCCCCGCCGCAGAAGCTCGATCTCCGCAGGCCCACGGAAGCTCCTCCGGCCGGCCAACCCACCGTCTCCACGCCATCCATCGATCTCACCTCGTCCCCTCCACCACCCATCATCCTCCCTCAGCAGCCAGCTTGTGCTCGCGTCCCTCCAATTCCACGCTATTCCTAGTCGCTGCTCGCCTCCAACCCCAATTGCACCGACTGCCTCACCACCGGTGTGACTTCGGTCGACCCCGAATTTTCAATTGCGGCCCCCCCCCCCCCCCCCCCGCCCGGTTGGAATCCCAAAATCCCCTCGACCCTGTAACTAGCTAATCCTGCTTGCTGTTCCCCGACCCAACTCCTCTTATCTCTATTGGATGCTCTCACCGCCACCCCGCAAACGAGCTCCCTAGTTGCCACCCTCCACCTTCGGGCACTTTGCACGCTTGGTCTCCATTATTCTGAAAGTTGGCTTGGGCTGGCTCAGCATCACCTCCCCTACCCTCGCAATGGGGTATTAGACACTTCCTGCGGGCACCTACATCGCGAAGTCTCTGCCCAGGAGTCTGGAAGGCAGCTTAATCCAGTTATCTGTACTTTGCTTCCCTGCCCACCCAGCGTATTCCTTCAATAAATCGACATCTCCCCGCCGTTCACTCCCGTCGACCGGGTCCTCCTCCATCATCCACCCCTTGGCTTGTTTTCAGCCTACTAGGATATCAGCTGCCCTTTTTCTGGCGTGATGTCTCAAAGATCGAATTCTCCTCCATCTCCAACCAAGCCTCGCCGGCGACGCTCGTCTTTCACCGAGCTTTTCCAGAAGCAGGGCAACGTTGCTTCCCCAACTACCGGCTCGCATCCTCGACCCATCTACACCCCTGGCAGCGCCCGAACCCAGCAACAGCGGAGGATGTCCCTTAATACATTGGGCCTTTCTGGTTCCCCCACCCAGATGTCTCCATTTGCAGCAGCTTCCATGCGCCGTGGTAGTGTCTCAAGCTCTGTGATGTCGACTTCACCGACAATGGACCAAGCCGTCGTCGAGGAAGCCGAAGAGGAGACCCCAACGACGGCCCCTGCAACTCCTTTTGCTCGCCGCGTCTCGTTTGGAGCACCGGCATTGCGTGGGAGCGGAAATGGTACATATCACCCCCTGTGGAATGCACGTTCCCGAAGAAATCGATCATCGTCGCTGTTTGGCAACACATCGCCCAACAGCGATGGAGTTGTACCTAGCGCAAGTACTTCACAACATCATTTCCAGAATGTCAAATCTAACCCGTCTTCTTAACGTAAACTAGCAGAAGGTTTCAATTGGCCCGAGTCTCTCAGGGTAAAGGCGGAGCGCGCACCCTCACTTGGGAATTTTCCTCCTACGTCCCCGACCCTACCGCATGCGGGTATGATTCACCAACGTTCGGCTTCAATTGCAGCCATGGAGGCACCACCGCCCGAGCGTGCGGAGCTGCCAAAACAGTCCCAGCATAAGTCGAGACCGAAGCCGGACTACTTCCAAGAGAAGATCTTACGAGCCGACTTCATGGACTAAAGGTTCAGGGCTATTTTTCTTTCCCTCTCCTCTCCCTACGTTACAAATTATTCAATACGCTTGCAAGTGCTTGTATTTCACGGGCTTGGAAATTCCAAGGGATTGGGGATTCGAAGCATTGTGGGTTATGGAAAGTTCATATTCTGGCAGTCTCCTTTCTGATGAATGAAGCTGCAATTTTATAAGTGGATGGTCCCGCTTTGATGACATCACTTAGTTGTAAAGGTTGTGGGTTCAAAGCATGGATGTTGTGTTATGATGCATGTTTCTCTTGATTTTGCTATGGTCCCGGGATGAATGTCAGGAAACAGATATTTTGCATTTACTCATCCATATATGGTATGTCTGTGACCTGCTGGGAGTTGGGGACGTTGATTTCTCTCCCCTTTTCTTTTTTTTTTTCTTTTCTTTTTTTGTTTCACTTCTGTTATTGTCTCACACATACTTATCTTACATGACTTAACAAGTCCCCATTCCTTTCTGCTCTGGATGAGCAAGTATTGGATAGCCTCTGAAATGCGCGGGCCCACTCTTCACACCACTGAGGGCTCTTTTCTTCTTTAAGCCATTTTCTTGCATATCTGTTTCTCCGGGCTGCAAAGGCACGTATCAGTTCCTGTGAGTTTATTCATTTCGCTCCTCCTTTGAATATCAAATGGACCCTGTAGCTGGTTATATAGTCTTTGCCGATGTTCCATACAAGAATACCCTTGAACGAAAACTACACAGTCATACTACATTAGCCCAAATGTATCGGCCTTTTTGCATTTTTAAAAGTTTGTACAAGAGGACACCTGCACCTGAACAACCAGAAAATATTTCCAGAAGGATTTCTTTCTCTTGATCCGCCAAAAGCTAAATGCTTCCCCTCGATGTATCGTTTAGGAATCAGTAAAGTACAAAAGGCCTGGGGGGGAAGAAGAATTGCTCATTCCATATAGTTAATTAATAGGGGATGTTATTAGACCACAGCTGGAACTGATCATAAGCTCCCGTCGACATGCTCGCATAACTCTTTCGAATCAGCTCCCTCATAAACTGAGCTGCTTCATGTTCACTCTTGTCGAGCACAAATCTATCACGAAAATTCTTCAAGGTGTCTGGTTTGAAGCACGGCAAGCCGCTGTCGAGCATTAGTGTGACAATCTGTGCCAGTTTCGCCTGGTAGGGACGCGAGGCGAGGAAAGCTTTGACAACGAGCGCTTCGAACCAACGGTAGGACTGGGAATTTAGATGATGGTGCGTAGATATTCCTGGAAAGGACAATCCGCTGCTCTCGGTAGGGGGTTGATGGTGCTGATAAGGTGCCCGTCCACCCATGACAGCGATCATTTCTGATGTTAGTTTGAAAGGGGCGCGCTCGAAACGAATGCCCCCTGGTGCAATGTCGAAGCAAAATCCAAAGTCTATGTGGATAATATGTCCAGCGTCATCTATCATGATGTTCCCGTTATGCCGGTCCTTAAACTGAAGTAAATAGGAAATCACAGAATATGCAGCCATGGATTTCACGAAATTGCTGCGGGCTTCTTGGAACCGAATTGAATCTTCGCCACCGTATTTAGAGACGAAGTAGTCATATAATCCGTTAACCGCTTCGCGTCCGAGCATATCTCGCGAAATTGAGTTCGGAAGGACATCGATAACTCCGCAGCCTGGAGCGGTGGCAACCACACGGTATGGATAGACGAAAACGTCTAGACCGACACTACCGAAGATGCTGCGAAATGCTGCTATCATTTGTAATGCCAATACATCCTGGCGGCAATCATCACCAACTTTGAAAATGGCCGATTGCCAGACTTCATAGGTTTCTGCTTTCGCTGGAAGGTTCGTTGCGGCTGCTGCATTATCCGTCTGATTTGCCTCGGCAAAGGGGGTTTTGTTGTTGGTATCACCATTTCCATTGCCATTTGTTTCTGATTTGGTTTTTTTGATTCTGAAGGTAGCCATGTATGGTGCTTTCGCATGACTTTGTAGTGGCTTGCCAGATTTACGATCGATACCGACAACGACACCATCAGGATTGCTAGGAAGATACACGCCAACTTCGACTTTGATTTTTCGGAGCTCTTCCTCAATCTTCTCCTTTTTCTCTGGCTTGCTACGCTTTATGTATGGCCGCAGCTTTCCTGAAATCTCCGTAATTTCACGGAAGAACGAAAATTCCTTCTCGTAAAAGGTACAGTCTTCGTCTGAAAAGCTGGAGATTAATTCTTCCGTAAACTTATCAAGAACGGGTTTGACCGGATCGGGCTAACGAGAGTCAGCAGCGGGACAGGGCAATGGCTACCAAGAGTGGCAGAACATACAATTAGCGAGTCTTCATCTTTATAGGCGTTCGCCTTCATATTCCAGATCACTTGGTGCGCAAAATACGGAGAAAGCTGGGCGGTCTCAAGTAGATAACGCTCAACGTAGCCCAGTGCATCGTAGCGCAGAGCCTGGACGAGTTGAGGAATGTAGAAAAAGCTAATGTCCACTGAGTGGCTCTCCAAAGCGCGCATCGCATATTGTAGGATAAAAGGGTGGTTTCCATATGCTGGAAGGAAATATGTGACTGCTGCGATGGGGTTTGTTGGGACCCAGAAAAGAAGATACTGTGAGAACATTTAGAATTACGTCGTAGAAGAAAGGAAGAAACCAGATACCTTCAGTTGGAAGGTGACATCTTGAGGTAACGCACACCCCAAAAGTATCTCTAAACTGTCCGGATCATCCAAGGCCTTCTCGGGGAAATTAAATATTAACCAGCGGATGTCATTTTGCAGCTTCGGTGAAGGAAACCTCGACGCTAATTGAATGGCCAAATTCGGGTTTTCTGTCCATGCGAGTCTCAGAAACCCACAAATAACAGCCTAAAGTAAGGTAAGAATCTTGCAATATGGGATGACTAGAGGCAGACCAACCTCTTGGGATTTGGTTCCAGTGTGATGGCGTTTCTCAGTATCAAGGGGAGAGAGCCACACCCTTAGGCGGGTTCTTTCATTGTCAATCAAAGCCAGAACAAGATCCTGTTTATTATTCAGGGATTTCCGGGAAGCAGCATCTCCAGGCACAATCCATGAATTTACGCCTAATATGGATTCAATATCATGTAAAATCTTGTCCTCGGCTTTCACTTGGAGGCGATTTGCCCCATAGGACCACCTAGTCAATTGTAAGATCATTCCACAAGCCTATAAAGATAAGGAAGTTACTGACCTGGGTGGATGACTAAACCAGCTCAAGGCGGCTGAGAGGATTTGGTCCTTAAGTTTCCATAGTGCAACCTTTGATTGTCCCTTGCAATATCGGAGCACTTTTAAACTGAAGAGGATAATGTGAAAATGAATTTCTCGCGCAAGTGGATGACCAGTCGTGCGCCTCAAGGCATCCAGCGTCGCCACTACAAGTTGCCTGAAAATCCTTTGGATATGAGGGCTGGCGAGCCTTGTCGCATTGAAATGGCTCTCAAAAAAATGTAGCAAGTGTAAGTGAGGCGATATAATATTCTGAGTTTTTCGCTGACGTTTTACGATGACGCTCTTGTCGGAAGGTAATGACTCAATTTTCGTCATAAACGGGTCCGAATATCTGGATAGAGAATTAGACAATACATTCGCAGAGGGGGTGGGAATTAGTTCACTTAAAACCGGGGTCAAATATGCCCTTTTTGCGGCGAATAGTACGTTCCCAAGCTTGTGCAGCTTCCACTAATATCCTCGGCTCCGTTTCCGGATTCTCGTTGATTGCACCAAGCCAGAATGAAATGCCCATTTTGATGGACTCGCTGGTAAATAGCTGGAAAGGGATACTGACTAAATGGGAAATAATGGATGGTTCACAACCATCGTTGTTGCAAAGAAGAGCAGCGGCTCTACGAAGTACACTTTGAAGCATCTCAGGAGGCGTTCTGCTTCGGTGCGAGATCTGCGATTCCAATTCAGTCAATTTTTGTTGGATATTCTGGGCTACCGGTAAGTAGCTTTCACTTCTTGCTCCGTCAAGCTTAGCTACAGAAAGGGTTAGCCACAATTTGATAAAAAGAGTCGAATTGCACTCACAATGAGTTAAGGATGACCGTAGGGTCTGGCCAGAAAGGGAATGAGCTTCCGAAAAGCGATATTCTTGACGTTTGGTATATTGAGTGACAAAATCAGATGCCATATTCAATAACGTATTCCCACTGCGTTCAATAGAACCTGATACGAGATAAGCACTACGTCAAACGTGGGATGAACTCGTGAATGAAATACCTAATCGCTGGTCACTTGTGGGAATCATTGAACCCATCTCAAGGGCGAAAGACCTTCCCATAGAGGTATGGCCATATGCACCGTCATCCTCGTACTCGGATAGATACGTCTAAAAAATAAATCAGTGTTTGGCGGCTACAAATAGCAAAAACCAGATACCACGCACCTGGAGTAAACCTTTGACATCTAGAGGTGCAATATTCATTATTGCCGCTACCCAGGACCGAGCTAGGTCATAAAGGTTGTTCAATGTATGTTTTCTGAACTCATAATTATCCGATAATTCAATATTGACCTTGCCGGTGGTAGAGACAAAGGATGATTTCCATTCATATTCATCCAATTCCTCATCCAAACAGGAAGACCACAAGAGTGTTAATAAGTCCAGAAGTGTGAATAGTGACTTCTTTTCACACAACGATGATGGATATTTAGATATTATCTTCGCAGCAGCGGCGGATGCGACTTGCTGTATACTTTGAATCCGATGACAACATGCAACAAAAGTGTCTGCAAGCTGCTGGGAAATATAGGGAGCGGAAAATTTTGCGGAATTGCTGGAGACAAATCTTTCGAGGTACAGTGTCACGATTTTGTCGACAACAGCTCTCATGCAATTCACTATGTCAGGACTATTCAATGCCGGATCGAGAAAGTAAGTGAGAATTTTGGTGAAATCTCCTGAAGAGGCACGAAGGCTTTCAAGGAGCAAGGTTGCATTGAGGAATATGAGTTTTGGGTAACTTAATCGCTTGATCTCTTGTTCTAGAGCTGGTAGTTCTTGGACTAAGCTCTTCTTTTTGTTAGAGGAGTGTGATGCGTTCATACCCCGTCTAAGAACGGTGTTTAACTCGATGTCACTCTCAAGCAACTCCGCACGATTATCTGAAACCAGCGGAGGGGAATGCTCGGCAAGGATGCGGAGGTCTTCATGATACACATGACCTGCTTCAGAGGTCAATGAAACATCATGTGCAGCGATATTGAACCAAGTGTCCCTTAATAAAGAGAGTATATCTCCATTCTCATGGAGACCACCCGGGATATCTTCAAGAGACCCAAGCTTGGAGAGAAGAGAAGCAACAGGTCTCAAATAAGGGTAAATTTCTTTTGCGGACAAGTCAACTTCGTTCGAGCGGCCTTTTTCTCGATCTGTTGCGCCTCCTTTGTTGACAATGCTTTCCAGAAGGGATGTCAGGTAGATTTTAAATAAAGGATTATCCTTTTGAAGATACAGAGCAAGATATTTCCTTGACCTATGGACCTGTGCGCTCGTACAGCAAATATTAGCATGAAAGTTATGTTCGTTTAAAATCAAATAAAAATAAGATGGGAAATCTTACGGCGTCAACGATAAGGGCATTGCCTTGAATGACTGCATCACGATAGAGACGAGCGTAAAACTTGAGAAGGAGCTGGAAATCCGTAGGCTCACTTTTGAGAGCAAGTGCAACAGTTTCTTCGACAATGCAAGCATCAAGGACAACGTTTACTCTCCCGATTTTCTGCAAAAGCATAGATTGCGCCAAAGCCACAATTTTGCTATCTTTGGAAATCGTGGCAACGGTTATGATCGTGTGTATCACATTTTTGTAAGTGATCGAGGAATCTCCTTCACTGTCAACGGTGAGCGAAATGAAACTGTCATTTGGTCGCTGAGTGCCCGTGATTAAATGGCGTGTGTATAAGTGGGCTTCTTCCGCGAGCGTCCCTGTGTGCTGGTTTGGTTTATCGTGAGTAGGACTTGCGCTAAGGACATTTCCCAAAGAATAGAGTGTGCCAATGATAGTGTCCTGGGAGAGAAGGTGAAGATTTTGGGCTAAAGAACGAGCGGCAATAGCGAGAATCGCACCACTTTGCTTATTCTGAACAATAAATTGTAGTAGAGATCTTGTCAAATTTGGCGCATTTAGGCGTGATATTTTTGATAAAACCACCAGGGTCTTGAAAGAAATTGTAGCCAACTCCTCACTTGCCATTTGATCAGGATTAAAAATGGTGGTTTCCAGCCATGAGACTAAGAGGTCAATGTCAGCGGAATCTTCATCAAGAATAATGCAGTTGACGAAGGTTACTAAGGCAAATGATTTGGCCGTGAATGCAAGATTCTGTTGCCAAGGCATGCCCAATTGCAAATAATCCGATCCCTCTTCCAAAAGTTGAATTTGATCAGCAGCGATTTGGGCAGAGTATTTCGCAAGAGCAGATATATCATCACTGTCTTGCCTTGTATCATCTAGGCTGTTTATATACCGATCCAAGAGAGCATTTTCGGACATTATCCGACCGTTCTCAGCTACGGGAGATGTGCAAGCTCTGACGAATCCGAGGAAGGATTTTTGAAGTAGCATCGAACTAAGTGGCCTCCCGGCGGAAGCAGATAGTCTAGCATATCGTCGCCAATTCTGAAATGAAAGATCCGAAGTTCGTAGATTACGAATGGTGGAGGAGGTTGTTTCAACGGCGACCAGGAACTGCTCCGAGAGCACCAGATGTAGTTTTTCGACAAAACATAGGCGTTCCCTTGGACTCCAGAAATGTGCATACGTAGACATACCATCCAAAAGCCCAACTAACGACACCGCGAGGGCGGCGATTTCCGTGATATCTTGGGCCTCCCCATGTTCAGCTGCACGATCTGCTTGACTATCGAAGGTGGGTAACTCTTTTGCGAGCCGATAACAGTTCTCCACATAAGTAAGAACGCACTCATGTATCTGATCGTGATGTGATGGATGGTGCAATCCAAGTGAGAGCAACGCGGTGATGAGGTTGCGGGTCAAAAGTTCCCATGGAGGAGTCTCGAGACTGTGGAGGAAAGGAGAGGAGTTGAACACTAGGGAGCAACAGTCCGGGAGGTAATCTGTAAAAAGGGTAACAAGTTTCGCAACATCTTCCGGCTTGGAGGTCAGGGGAGCAGCTTCGCAGAGAGAAAGAAGGGCGTCTAAATCTCGGATTCTCTACTGACGGTTAGCAGTCCGCCTCAGGAGGTACATATTAATCTGGAGCGACAGACAATTGGAGCTGGAGATGCCCTCCCTTTAAAAACATCGTCGAGGAAGCCGGTCGGGGATGCCTTCGGGCGTCGACATGCATTGCGAAGCCGGTCGATATCAGACGTGTTGGTATGGCAAGCTCCGGGGTATATTGCTGCCAATGTCGCTAGTTTTTCAAAGGCGACACGGCGAATATATGTCGAATGCCTGCACATAGGGCGTAAGCATAAACCAGAGCACAGAAAACGGTCAGGTAGAATACGCATACATATTGTTTTCAACGAGGCCCAAGAACTTCCAAGCAGACCTACAGGATTGGGTTATTCCATCTTGTTGTGCCTAGGTAAATTCACTAATAATTAATATTATATTCCGGCGGGAAAAGTGTAGTACCTGTACACAGCTTATCCTTGGTAGTTCCTATTAAACCATGTTTTTCTGGAGTGCTTTGCAGTTGAGAGAGCTCACATAGCTAACTACATATTTATCTAGGCTGTTTGTTTTTTAATAACCTATCAGGTACGGAGCACGCGGTAAACTATGGAGCACTGTAAAGAGTACTCCGTACGGAGTACGGAGTACCCCTTTTGAGCCTGTTAGTCCCAAACATTGAAAAGTAAAGTATAGAGTACGGAGTACTGGATAAACACTTTATGGTACTCTGTACGGAGTACTCCGTACTGAGGATGGGATAATCTGTGATGCCCAGGGCAGAGTTCAACCTTGTTAAGTATGTAAACAATGTCATTATCCCATCTTAAATGCCTGAAAACAATTAGCCAAAGCATAGAGCTCCTTCATTTTTATTCTCTGTAAAATACTCTTGGGGTGTGCCATGAAAATTGGCTAATCTCTGAGATTTCTGAGGTAATTATGGAGTACAGGGGCCGAGTACGGGGTACTCCTTACTGGGTGCTTGATACCTCTAAAGTACCACTCCTAATAATAATAATAATTAATAATAATAATAATGATGATGATGGAGCAATGATGAGTTTGAGTGTAAGATAATAAACATCAAGTTGGCGCACTTCTCGCCCCAGAGCTGCTAATATAGATTTGCTCCTTCAGCCTTGTCCGCCGAGGAGTTGGTCAAATAGGGAGTTCGCTACGGAGTACTCAGGACGGAGTAGTGAACACAACTGAAGCCGGGGCCCTCATTTGTCACATCCCCAGCCCAGAGCTTCGAAAGACATCAGACGAAAGGGTTGGGCAACTTGAGAAACTGGCCCGACTTAACCCCTCATTCATCCTGCCTTGAAACATGTTGTTCAAATTTATTCAATAATCGCGCCAAAATCCCAACCAAAAGCTGCGCAAATATTCATACACGCTTACGCTCGCAGTATTCCGACGGCAATCGTCGAGCCGAGTCTACAAGCTGCGCCTCTCGGATCTTCGCATTGAACTTGCAAATATCCGAATCTATAAATATTTCTGCGAATACCTCAATTTTCATGCAATTGTGAGTACCGGGACTCCCTCGTTTCGGACCCAACGGACTTTACGGACCGCTGTCCGCCTATCGACGTCGACACCATGCCCCCGCAGAAAGAAAAGAGTAGTCTAAAAAGGGGAAGAGTAAGTAATTGATTGCGCTGGCTCCTTGCAACTCCTTGAACATGACTAATGGCGTGGCTAGGCGAGCGGCGGTAACCATGAGCAGGATGTTAAAAAGCCCCGGCGTTCAGAGCGACTATCGTCCCAATTGGCACAATCGCAAGCAGCTCGAGCAAACAAAGCCTACCTTCCTCCGCTTATCCAGCAAGATTCCACAGCGACAGAGATTCATAAAGAAGCCACTGTCACACCTCCAGAGGGCCGTCCAAGCCAGCTTCGCCATCATACACCGGGGCCAGAAAGCCTGACCCAATTGTCATCTCCTCCAGGTGACACCCAGGCCTTCTCTCAGAACCCTTCCCGGGTGTATGTGAGCGGGGTGGAAGAGGAAGCCGCAGAAGGTGTATGGGGCTATCTAATCCCGCTGGACAACAAGTTCGGAGATACACTTGTGCTGAAAAAAAGAGACACCTGCTTTTCTTCTCCAATTGGCGGTGTAACAAATAACCGTAATGGTGCTTCAAGATCAAAGCGTAGCAAAGGGAAAGGAATGCCCACTCCCCTACAATTGAACCCCAGTGGTTACTTAATAGGTCGTCACTCCGAATGCGGTAAGTATCAGGAATCGCCAAAGACGTCGAGCACGGATCTGGCCCTCGGCGAGAGGCCGGCTCATAGCCTAACTATTTCTAACTCTATTTCAGATTTGATTCTAGATATACCGACTATCTCTAACCGGCATTGTTTGATATTCCATGAAAATAGGGAGGGCGATTCAGTTGCCATTCTAGAGGACCTATCTAGCAATGGTACTTTTGTCAACGAAGCCATTGTTGGCCGCAACAATCGGCGCGAGCTTGAAGACGGGGACGAAGTTACTGTGCTGGACGAAGCTCGATTTATCTTTCGCTATCCCCGTAACCGAGACGCCGGTGGATTCCGACAACAATATCGCATCTTAGAGCAGCTCGGAAAGGGTCATTTTGCGACAGTATACCTCTGCGCTGAAAGAGCGACTGGTATCAAATATGCTGTCAAAAGGTTTGAAAAGCGGCCGGGAGATTCTCATAGATCTGATAACGACACCCTTCAACAAGAAATTGCGATGTTGAAAAGTGTCAACCATACAAATGTGCTTTGTCTTAAAGACACCTTTGATGAGAGTGACGGAGTCTATCTAGTCCTCGAGCTTGCTCCGGAAGGAGAGCTGTTTAACTGGATTGTTTCTCACCAAAAGCTGAAGGAAGATGAAACGCGCCATGTATTCCGTCAGCTGTTCCAGGGGCTAAAGTATCTGGTATTTGTTCTTCCTCTGCTCATTTGCGAGTGCTGTTGAATCTAACTCTTTTTCAAAGCACGATCGCAACATCGTTCATCGTGATATAAAGCCTGAAAACATACTACTTATGGATAAGCATCTAACAGCCAAGTTGGCGGACTTCGGGCTTGCCAAAATAATAGGCGAGGATTCGTTTACCACCACCTTGTAAGTTTTATTCCTCCGGCTAAAACAATCAAATCTTCTAACATACCTCTACAGATGCGGTACACCGAGCTGTAAGTTGTGATGTCATCTATCCTTTGGAAGGGGGTTCGTATTGAGACAGCTGACTCTTTGTATAGACGTTGCACCAGAGATCCTTGAAAACAGTAGACGACGACGATACACGCGAGCTGTTGACATCTGGTCATTAGGGGTCGTTCTTTATATCTGTCTCTGCGGCTTTCCGCCATTTTCTGACGAACTCTATTCGGCTGAACACCCATATACCCTAGCAGAGCAGATAAAGTTGGGTAATTTTGACTATCCGTCGCCATATTGGGACTCTGTTGGGGATCTGGCGCTCGATTTGATCGATAGAATGCTCACGGTGGATGTTGATCAACGGGCTTCCATCGACGAGTGTCTGCAGCACCCTTGGTTAACTGGAAAGTATCCTAGTGTCGCAGATAGCACGGACGGGTTAACCGGAGCAATGGGTCAGTTAGACTTCTCGAAGCGCAAGGTTGAACGAGAAAGGACCCTTTTAAGCGATATCAACGATGTCCCTGTCAGTCAGGTTTATGATGATAGCCGACAAGAGGGTTATGGTCAGGTGAAAATTTTCGACAAAAATACGGCGGGAAAACGGGTTCATAATCAACCCGCAAAGGGCTTGAAGTATCGACAAGAACCGAAACCGGACGTAAATCGAGATCCCGTGGAGTTTATGCATATGGGTGGACGTGGTGACCAGACGCTTTTTGCCCATGACCCGGACAGCCGATACGAATCAGACGAAGTTCCCAGGAGGAAACGATAGCGAAGTTGCTCCAAGCTAGCAGTTTTTTTCTGCTTTGCGTCTCGCTTCTATTAATCGGAAAAGGCTTATTCTTAGATTTCCATATCTGCATCCGATGGCTCAACACGCCGAGCTTCTAATTCCCAATTGACATTTTAATTATGGCACCCCCCTCCTTAAACTAATTTCCTATATCAATACAAGTAGTCGTGAAGTGTATCAGAGACTCAAGAGTTTGATGCTGTGCAAGTTGCTCACCCATGCCCTGTCAACTGAAATGAACTTGGTCGACTAGTTTAGTACAAAATGCAGATGACCCGACATACACCCTTCTATAGAGTCGGTGTTACTTCCTTTGTTCCGCAGTAATCTCGATCCTCCTTATCTATGGCATAACTAGCATACGTATGTTGACTTTCCACGACATTCAACGGACATCCGCCGTGAATTTCGGGCCGTTTCACTTCTCAGCCGCCCAGCGGATGGCGTGACCCGGCTGGACGTGAAGCCATCAGATTGCGCTCGAATGTGGCTCAGGCTGTGGCTCGCTGCTCAAGGATCCATCGAGCTAAGCCAAGACCAGTAAGGCTCGATCACGGGAAGAGCTTCTTGGCAGGTGGCCAGGCACTGTAACGATGTTACCGTATTCTTACGCCTGGGCTGGTTCCCCCTGGTTTCTCGGAATATGATGATTATTCTTTTTAACGATCTTCAACCCCCATTCCGGAGGCCACAGCTCACCAGAGAGGTTGTGAATCGCTCTCAGAGCATATCTTTGCAAAAATGGGATTGCTAGCGAATGTCCTTACTGGCGTTTCTAAGGCCTGCTCGGGCCAATCTCTCTGGACGTTGGTCTTGTTGGGAATATGTGCTTTCTTTACGCTCTCAGTGTTTGTCAATGTTTTAAAGCAGGTTTTCTTTAAGAATCCGAATGAGCCCCCGGTAGTCTTTCATTGGTTTCCGATCATTGGAAGCACGATCTCTTATGGTATTGATCCCTATAAATTCTTCTTTTCATGCCAGAAGAAGGTGCGTCTGTGTCATTCCCGGGAGCTCAAGTTTAAATTCTAATCCTCTTGTGATGGTAGTATGGTGACATATTCACATTCATCCTTCTTGGAAAGAAGACAACTGTTTTCCTGGGAACGAAGGGTAATGACTTCATCCTCAATGGAAAGCTAAAGGATGTTTGCGCCGAAGAAGTCTACTCGCCTTTGACTACCCCCGTTTTTGGCAGACATGTCGTTTATGATTGCCCAAATGCTAAGCTGATGGAACAGAAGAAGGTAATTCATCTGCTTTTGTCTCTAGTTGCAAGATTTCGGCTTATCCGTACAGTTTGTCAAATTTGGTCTTACCTCGGAGGCGTTACGATCCTACGTGACCCTTATCACCAGAGAAGTCGAAAGCTACCTTGAAAATTCGCCTGCGTTTCAAGGAGACTCTGGCGTGTTTAATGTTGCAAAATCCGTTGCCGAGATTACAATCTACACTGCGTCTCGATCCCTCCAAGGGAAGGAAGTCCGAGATAAATTCGACTCGAGCTTCGCTGAGTTGTACGCCGATCTCGACATGGGTTTCGCCGCCATCAACTTTATGTTTCCTTGGGCTCCCCTTCCGCACAACCGCAAGCGGGACAGGGCCCAGCAGAAGATGACCCAAGTCTACACGGACATAATTCGCGAACGACGCAAAGCTGGTGGAAAGAAAGATTCTGAAGACATGGTGTGGAATTTGATGTCATCTGTTTACAAAGACGGAACACCGGTGCCGGACGTTGAAGTCGCGCATATGATGATTGCTTTGTTAATGGCTGGACAACACTCCTCAGCGTCGACGGGTTCCTGGATCGTCCTCCGACTTGCAAGCCGCCCTGATATCCTTGAGGAATTGTACCAAGAACAGCTCCGAGTTCTCGGTCCAGATCTTCCCCCGTTGACGTACGAATCTCTTCAGCGCCTAGAACTTCATTCAAATGTCATCAAGGAAACACTACGCCTACACGCACCCATTCACTCAATTCTTCGCGCCGTGAAGTCTCCGATGCCTGTAGATGGAACGAAATATGTGGTTCCAACTTCCCATAACCTTCTCGCAGCCCCAGGAGTTCCGTCACGTATGGCTGACTACTTCCCTGAGCCTATGCTATGGGACCCCCATCGCTGGGAGAAAGGGGGAGGTGTCAATGCAACTGGAGTCCAGGACGAAGCGGCCGAAGAGAAAGTTGATTATGGTTACGGGTTAGTTAGTAAAGGTGCAAATAGCCCCTATCTACCATTTGGTTCTGGTCGACATCGGTGCATTGGTGAACAGTTTGCGTATGTACAACTTGGAACGATCACTGCAGCACTGGTACGAGCTTTGAAGTTGAGAAAACTCGATGGTGATAAGGAAGTTCCTGATACGGATTATTCGGTAAGCCTAACCCTTCTATTTAGCTCTGCACGATCTCACTGACATTACTCCCAGTCCTTATTTTCAAAACCTCTAGGCAACCCGAGGGTCGCTTGGGAGAAACGCAAACCGTCTTCGAAACAATGACCATCTCTGCTCATGTATTCTACTTTATCTCAGCTGTCGTATTAATTTTTAATATCATTTTACCAATGGTGTGTATGTAGATAGACGTTCCTAATTATGTGACGCTGTAATATGTTAAGTATAATATTTGTGTCGAAACTCTCTCTCTACTTGCATAAAATTAACTGCATTACTAACAGGAAATGAGATACAGTATGAAGTACGGAGTACAGCCAATCTAAGTGATCTAATCGTTTTTGCAACAGTCCGTCCAATCCAATGTTATAGTAAATTCACATATTGTACAAAAGAAATGTGCCATCCAACACAACTTCAGCGCTTATTCATTGTTTCTTCGACTCCGCAATTCGTCGTTTTGCTCGCACTTCTGCTCGTCTTCTTTCACCTCCATCAATTTTCCGACCTAATTTATCCTCCCACATACCTTCCTGTACCGTAATTTTCGCCGCGCTGCCGTTCGCGCCAGGAAGCACCTCGACATACGGTCCTTTTATCTTATTTCCACGATGAAGTTTGATTTCGGAATATTTTTTAATCGAAAACATGTTTTCTTTCACTTCCGTCTCGCCCACTGGTAGATTGACAATCACCCATTTGCTTCCCGGGGAGGTTGTAGCGGTACCAGCCAGGCTGAATGAATGAGTGCCGGTATCCCTGCCTGTGGTGATATCGGTAGCGCGAATCTGCTCCCGCGGAACTTCAACAGCACGTAGCTCCGCGACGCCATCAGTGACATGGTCCAAGTTCCCCCCAACGCCGTACTCTCCACGCCGAAATTTATCAACCCATCGAAGCAAGTATCGTCTTTGGCGGGCAGGCTCTACACCCAACTCGCGCAGCTCTTGAGATGAGATTGTAAATAATTGCTCCCAAGAACTTAATTTATCACTGTATTGGGACATGTTGCGACCAATAAGGGTGAGGAATGTTTTCGTATCTGGGACGAAAGGGGTAGGAGACGGGACGAAGCCACGCCGGACGGCTTTATGGAGATAGCGCACACATCGGTGGGAGGTTTGGAGGAGTCCAGGAAGGCGGAAGGAGAGAAGGGGTTTAAGAGCAGATTTGCCAGTTGCCATGAGGAACGGCAGCGAGACGGTGGTCCGGCGGTTCGTTTCTTAGGAGAGCGAATCTCAAAGATCTGATGCGTATTCAATGCGTATGACTCATAACAATTCAAGGTCCGACGGAACTCTTTTTCACGTTACTTTAGAAAAGAAGGGAGAAAACACTCAATCCTCATGACCCTCAATACCAACGGTGTAAACGCTGTCTACTCGTCGCGCTTCGATAAAAGCTCGATGCATTTTGTGAGGGAAGCGGGAATGAAACGGAATAACCTAATCTCCGGGATTCGATGGAAAATAGTTTGTCCAGTTGGGCGGCCCGGAGGCCAAACTGATGGAGGACTCGTATGCTTGTCATTCACTAAGCTACCTAAAGGGGAATCTCGGCTAATCTATGTGGGTCACGTGAGCGAGGTGCTGGTTGGATTACCTAACACAAACTCTCAAAGTCGGAAGTTGTTTCCAAGTCACCTGCGGAGTATTAACGGAGGCTTTCGACAAGACGAGCGCGGCCATGTATTGTTATATCTCATAACTGCGCATTGCCTACATGGACAATCCGTCGATGGCTTCCGGGCGAATTTTGAATCGAGTGTGGTGGTCTACAAGCCCACAAACCTGAAGTCGCGAGCCGTCACGAGTGGGTGTTATTTCATAGCATTGCGCCAACCTTCACAGGACTTTGACAGTCGATGGCGGTCTCACCGCCCGTATCGCGATCGCCAAATGTTGGGACTGCGACATCGCCCAACACCTCCCATGCAAAATCGCTGGCAGTGCGCCGCACAACGACAGGTGGAGCGGCGGAATCCGTGCCTGCGATCATAACTATGGAAGGGAAGGCGAAAGGGTCCGAACCAGAGCTTGCAGAGCAATTAAATGCAGAAATCCGTCATCGATACGTCAAAGGTATGGACATTTTTCTGCTTGCGAGGTCCATACGTTCTCCCGTCATCGTTCTTCTCCTCTTCTAACAGATCAAAAGACAAAAAATTAGGGGAAGGCACATATGCCATTGTCTATCTTGGCCACCTTCGGAGCGATCCTTCTTCACTCGTCGCAATAAAGAAGATCAAAGTCAATACCGAATACAAAGATGGTCTCTCAATGGATGCAATACGCGAAGTGAAATATCTCCAGGAACTGTCTCATCCCAACGTAATTGCTCTTCATGCCGTCTTCTCGTCCAAAGATCGAAATTTAAACTTGGTTTTGGAATATTTACCGCTCGGTGATTTGGAGATGCTGATCAAAGACAGCGCTATTCAGTACGGCGCTGCCGACGTCAAGGCTTGGGTGGGCATGCTCGGCCGCGCAGTCTGGTTTTGTCATGAGAATTTCATCTTACACAGGGATATCAAACCAAACAATCTGCTAATAGCATCAGACGGTGAAGTTAAGCTTGCGGACTTTGGACTGGCCAGATCATTCGCAGACCCTCGCCTAAATATGACTCACCAGGTAATCACGCGCTGGTATAGGCCACTAGAGCTTCTTTACGGGGCGCGCCAGTACTCTGGCGCAGTAGATGTATGGTCTATGGGAATGGTTTTTGCAGAGTTACTCCTCCGCGTCCCCTTCGCTGCAGGAAATACAGACTTGGATCAGATATCCAAGATCTGCGCCGCGTTTGGCACACCCACCGAGGATAACTGGCCGGGGGTAACGAAATTGCCCAACTTTGTTCCCGTTGAAAAGAACCAAATTGTCCCATTGCAAGGGAGGGATTTCTTCCTTCGGCAATTTCCCACCGTGGGACACCTTGGAGCAGACTTGCTATCGTCGATGTTAAAACTTGATCCACGAAATCGCAGTACTGCGAAGCAGATATTACAGCATGCGTGGTGGTCCGCGGAACCCAGGCCAACTAGAAAAGAAAATTTACCTCGCAAAGCTGGAGGTGCAAAGAAGATGGGCAATGATTTGAGCAGAAGAGGCGGCGTAACAGATGAAGGACCTTTCAAGAATGCGGCTCGTAGGCTTGATTTTGGAGGACTCCTACCGAAATGATGGCGACATTTGGCCGTCTTCACGACCTTTTTTTTTTGGAAATCGGTGATTCTAAGCCTCGGCAAATAAGAGCAGGGCTCCTTCAATACAGAAGCACAAAGATATGATCAATCTAATTGAAGCACGGTATCTGTTTTCGACCTTGACCTTCCCGCCGATGTCCCCTGGGCTGATCATCGTCCCCGGTGACGGCGTCCGCCAACAAAATTGTAGCATGCAAGGCATCCGGTTTGTTACTGAGAAACCGCGACACGCACCAAATATGTTTGGGATAATTCGCCCGGAAGAAGGATCAATAAATTATCCTTGTTGCGAACATGTATGAACATACATACATGCCTTTCTGCATCACCAGGTGCTCCATAATTTCACTCTACTTAGCCTGAAATGTTTTTGATCCTTGCAACTAATATACATACATCAATACAATCCGCCCACAAGATGTAAATGCAGTACTTTAGCCCAGGAGCTTAAATCTATAAATGCAGATGCTAGCAAAGCTTGAAAGCCCAAGATTTTACAAAGTAGATGGGTCTCTTATGAAGTACGCGGCCCGCTCTTTACCATATAGTGGGCCAGGTTTGACAAGGTCGGGTGACTACCAAACGAAGCGAGCAGGGTCTATAGGATAAACAAATGAATTGTATGTTATATCTCGTGTTCTACACATTTTTAATTGCGATAAGAGCATGTTCAATGCTGAAACGTCAATGCCATGATCATCGCCCTGGCTCAAGCGGTTCCCATCTGGACATTCCTGTGTCCACATCCGAGTCCAGTAGTTCAGCTATATCAGGTCCGGTTCTATGCTTTGGAGATGAACCCCGTGCATGGGGCTCCTCCATATCAGGCCACTTCCCTGATAGTGATGCTCCTCCGTTCCGATACGGTATATTTTGGAGCCCATCGTCTGCCTGTCGAGCGGCGAAAGGAAGCTTATACGTGCTGTCATCAGCGTTCCTCCCTCCAAGAGCTCTTGTTGCCATTGCTGTGCCTTTTCCCTTAAACCTGGGGCCGACGACAGGATTTTTGGTCAGCGAAGGAGGCTTTTGGGGAACTGGCGGACCTTTCTTCTTGGGTGTTTCTGAGAGCTCAACGAGTTCCTGCATAGCACTGGTCTCCCGTTTTGCTAGAGGCAATACGTTTCCATACTCAGTGAAATCCAAATCCAACAAAATGCCACTTTTTAACGGTGCGACATTATCACTTGAGGCCAAGCGTCTATGGGGCAAACTTGCACTTTTAGCATCGTTAGATGACCTATCACTTCTGCTAGGGTTGGATGGATGGACCCGGTCACGTTCTGTGAGTGCCAAAAAGGGGTTCGAACTTGGATAGTGGCTCCTGATGTAGTCCGTAGGCGGCTTTACCAATGACCTTATAGGCAGTCCTTGTTCGAGTTAGCAATTATTCCCTCGCTAGTGAACAGACATCACTCTCACCATCGTCGAGCCACCACTTATGTCGATCAGAGCTAGCCGGTGGAAGGCCAGGAGGAGTGTACACATCACGAATTAATCCCACTTCTTCGGTACGCCCAGACTCTGAATGCGAACTAGTGGTCTCGATTGCCTTCTTGTGCTTCTCATAGAGTTCGTGGCTTAACCGCGCCTTCAATCCTTCGTCGACAGTAAGTATCGCACATTCAAAGACAGCATATACGGGTCGATGATCCGAGAATTTCAAAGGAGCAGTGTTGTATTCAACTTGATTCAAAATTTCCCCTTTCCAAAGGACCCTATCACACCACGCCGGAATACGCCGCTTCTCCCTAAATTTCAAAAAAAGTCAGTCTCGAAAGGCGAATCTACGGTACATATGCCTAAACTTACGAGGTGTCATATACATCCGTTCCGTTATTATATCGATATGTGGGAGGGAACGTTATTGGGCCTTCGAAGTAGTCCTGGAACGTGACACCAGCGCTAATTTGCAAATTGAGCTACAACGGGTAAATTAGCAAGATAATTTATGTATTTGATGTTGTTGGATGGGAGAGCTGTTACCTGATCCTTTTCATACAACTCTTCGAGGCTCCCCTTCTCTATTAGAGATCTGACTTTATTGTCGTTCAACTCGATGCGGTAGTTAAAATCGCCTAGCCAGATTATAGCATCATGATCATTTATTGTCCGATTGCGCTGGAATCTGAGCCCATGGGCAATGGTGTTATAGTCTCTATTCCTCTCCTCATAGTTGGCAAATCCGGCAGCCAGATGTGCAGTGAGAAAACAAATTCTAGTATTGGAATACTCAAGGCGGATGGCACACCCGCCTTTGTTCCCGGCTATTCCAGACAATCCGGTCTTAGAAATTGCTGTCAGTGACTATTAACTTGAACTAGTAGAGTAGATTAACTACCTTCTTCACACTGCCTTCGACATTTTTAATTTCTCTCAATACATCTTCTTTCGCGAACAATAATAACGCCGCACCTACAAGCTGTCCGCTTCTTAGAAGTACGTATGGGCTGGTCCCCCTTCGAGATGTTTCTCTGTCCAGAGTCTTTTTGACAGCTTCTTCCCAAATTCTGCGACTCCTCGGATCGGTAGACATAATCTGCTGTGGGCTCAGGTCAACAATTTCCTGAAAGCCAACTGCTACAAGCGTTGGTTCTTTGGGGAATTTGGCAAGGTGAGCATGAAGCCAAAGACCCAGGTCTTCATTAGCATCGCAGGGTCTACCGTTGACATTAAACGTCCCAACCCATATCCGAACCGTTTTAGTGGATGAGAATTCAGTAAACCTCTCTGCTAGCTCTGCCATAACATGATCATTCACCGGGTCGTAAAGATGGACCGCAGTTTGTCCAGTCAAAGCACCTAATAAAATGTCTATGGTGTTCTGTCTGGCATTGTCAATAAAATTATTGACATATAACCGGGTAACGCTTTTCCTTGCATCGGCAATTGCCCCCGCAATGGACATCTTGCCATGTCTAGTGAACGATGACTTTAATGCTCCGGTACCAGCATAGATTTTTGATAAGGCATCGCCATTGTCAGCCCATAGAGTAGAATGTCTCCCCCAAAACTCATGTGGCAAGGTGTAGCTATTCTGCATAAGAAATCTCTCCAGCACCATGACGCTAATCAGCGATTGCACAAGGTTTGTCCTGTCAAGGCAGTCGAGGCAGTTGGTGCGAAATACTCCCTCCTGATGAAGAATAATTGTCGATTTGCCTTCATCGACTTTTGATCGTGGCGTAGTGTCACCATTAGGGTCCTCGGATAGAAAATACGCGAACCTGTCAATGGAAGAGCCAAGTTTATGCTCTATAAGCATGGCGTTCTCGTAGCCAGCAGGACCTTTAGTTTCTGCGTGGAAGTCGAAATCGGTCCATCGTAAAAGATGATGCTCAGAAGGTGCCCCTTTCTCGGACATCCTTCGTAAAGGGCTATGTCGGCTATGATAGCGGAACTTTTCAGATAACTCCAGTTCTCCCGGCTTTGTTGCACTCAGCAGGTTTATGACATGAGCCTCACCGTAGTTCAGCTGAAGAGATTGAAAATGTTTGTCAAATGCATGTTGGGTAGCACCCACAGACCGAGTAACTTGAATCTTCTGCTGGCCTGGAATTAAGCCAGGCGTTTGTTCCCAGAAGATAGGGACCGAGCCTCTAACTTGGGTGTAAGAGAATGTTATCCCGGGGGGAGTCCATAAAATCGTCTCTGTTTCTACAAAATTGGAGACTTGGCCATCATCGTCTATGCCTCGGGAATTGAATCTTGTGCCAGTTCTTCGTGAAGAGAGTCGTGAAATTAAAGTGAGAGTAGCTGGGAGACCTGCTGGTATGGACTTGAGAGGGGTTGAAGGAATTGTCATGCTCTGGACAAAACCGCGAATAACTGAGGAAAGAATCTGGGTTGAATCAAGGAGATGTCGTTCGTGAGCCGCCAGTCTGCTCCGAAATTGTAGGAGTGGTCCAATCATGTACGAATTCCAAAGGAATGATTCGTCTAGCCTTTCGATATCAAAGGCGACATCATTGATTCTGTAAAGGCGATTAGATATGGTAGAAGGAATGCAAGGACAGGTCCTTACCGGTCCTGTACTCGGTTCGTCAAGTTGAAGTCTGTACTATAATAAAAGCTACCATCACTCAATAGCTTTTTAAGCTCCAGAAAAGGATCCTCTGTTATTACATCTCTCCCTTGAAAAGCAGTACCATAGTCACTTTCCTGGGAATAATGAGCGTAGTTGGCATTTTCTTGGTAAAATCCTAGTGCATCGTCGTAATCCGGACGGTTGAGGCAGTCTAACAAGACCCTGTTAGCGAGGACTGTGCGTGACTATGGACACATTGCCTCACAGAAGTCGACGTTTGTGATTTTTCGAACAGTTTCCTTAGGTCTGGGGCTCGCTGCACTGGCTGAGCTCGAAATGATGCATAGAAACACATCATTGTTGAGGGTAAGAAGGCCAAGAGTGCCATGTCCGATCCCAAGTAACCGGTGCTCTGTGTGCTTCCAAGAGGCGCTCGAGAACTTTACGATGCATTGGGGTGAGAGGACATTGGAATCAGAGTCGGTAGACAGTATCGACTCTGAAAAGGTAGGTGAATACTCTAGGATAAGGGCATGGCCATCAGGGGTAACCAAAGCTATAGAACGTCGAGGGTGGTCTTGACAAAGAACCCGCAGAGACATCTCTGCTAGTGAATATGTATGCTGCTCTTTTACGACAAGAGTTAGCCTCCTCTCCAAAAGGGTAGAATGCTTTATTTTGATTCCGTGAATATCCCATTAGTGGCAGCGAAGTGGAAAGAATTACTGGGTGATTGCTGTCCTGGAGCAACGAGCAGAAGAAAGAACTGACCTGGAGGAGACTTGCACTTTTGTAGCTAAGTCCTCAACCGCGCAATGTCTAACTTTTCTTGCATGTAGCATAACTCATCATCTGGACTTTTGCACTGGTATGATTAGGTAGTTAACTCTTTAAATCAGTGGCATGAATATGTTGGGATGTGGCCACAGAATATGTATCAGCCAGGTTAAAGATAGGAGCGCGCTGTCACAGGGGAATAAGTATGTGCGGAGGATGTTTGTACACCATAGTTACACCATACAGTTTAAAGTAGCTAAGTTAAAAAGCAATCCCCCTATTTAAAAAAAAAAAAAAGGAATCTATAGCTAATACACATACAAAAGGCAACAACTTTACGGATTACACAATTTTAATGTCTGGTGGATAGGAGGCCAAATCCAACCCATTTTGGTGGCCATATCCGGCACTTTTCTCGCTAATGCTGTCTCCACACATAATGGCTAAGTCTGACCCATGCACCGCAGGGCCTACCGATCAAGATGTCAAGTAGTACTGGCTAAGGGCACTAGCTTTAGTCACTTCTTCCACCTGTTGCAGTGTCAGGCTGGTATCAAGATGATTCTGGCAAGACTTGAAACACAACACCAATTTCTCTCTTATCACCAAATGCTTAACTTAGCCCAATATCATTTACCTAAGATTGTTACTTTTTGATCACCCCATATCTCACATAACTATTTCTACCTCTTTATCAAAGCTAATTAAACACATCAGTCTGAACATTTGAGGTCAACAAGTGCAATTTCCACATCTGATTATGGATAGTAATAACTCTTGCAGCCAGCAACGCAGCTCACCTGGTTGCAGCTTTATAGAGGTAATTTAAGGATTGCAGTTGACTGATAATCTTGGCTTCAAGTTCTGCCTTCTGTTCCACAAGGTCGGAAAGCCTGTCTAATTGGGCTTTCCTAACCTCCGAGCTATTTAGTTCGTTAGTTGATTAGAAGCGGGCGGAGAGGAATGTAGGGATACAACTACACTCACCAAGTTAGCTTATTTTGGCTAATCAAGCCATTGATGTCCTCTTCCGCTTTCTTGATGTGAACCTTGTGCTGAGCTTGTAGCTTCCTTCGACTCTTCCTCTTAGCCCCTTCGACCTATGGTAGGAACAAGTAGTCAATCAAGCTGTACGGAGTACATTGTGCATGGTTCTCGAATTCAACAACCATCCATCAATCCACAAGATACTTACAGGTTTATTCAAGGCTTTAAGCAAATCAGTTGCCATAGATGTGGGAGGTTCCGCTGATGGGTTGCGCTCATTAACTTGGGTAGCGCGCTTTTGGGGTCTGGAGGAGAGGCTCTTTGCATCATTTTGTAATCCTGGCTTGCTTGCCATCTTTGTTATCTAGCAAACAATGGCCTATCTTATTGCTGGGGTCCTGCTATGCGAACAGGGCTGCATTTTGTGATGATTGAGAGGTACTCTGTAACTATTAATTACATGACTGTAATTCGTTTCCCAAATTGGAAACCATGAAACCCCGGTGGTACTCCATACTGTAACCACTGGCTACCCCATCCTCACTTTTAAGTCAAACTTTGCTCCCGTAGTCATCGGTAGCTACTCAATGTTACCAACGTTTAGACCAAGAGATATGTAGTTGTGGCAGCAGAGCTGAGGGTACTCTACTCTGTACTCCGTACTCCGTACAGAGTACAACTCTTGGCCGGGGCTCAAGCCATATGAGCCAATGATTGGAGGTCGATCTTTCTGGTTCCTGGTTGGAGCTCGGCCAGATTGAGGAAGAAATCTTGGCAGGTGCCAAGACTGATCACCTTCACGTTACTCCGTAATTATGGGCAAATTCCGCATGTATGTTTGGTTGGGGTGCCTGGCTTGATTGTGCTCCATACGGAGTACTTCACTCATCAGTCTCTGCGACGCTCTCGACTATACCTCCCCGACCGGCCACAGTAAAGCGGTTAAATCCTTACGCCCAAAGGCTTTGGGGACCGCTATCCTCATGGGTTTAGCAGGGCCGAAAAAGTGAGTGAAATCGTACATAACGTCCCATCGTCAGCTTTTTTTCCTAATAACAGCCAATAGACGGACCAAAATTTCCCACGACCCGAACAATATAGCATGGTCTAGGTCAACCACAGGATATGGCCACCGAATTATGAGTGCGCAGGGATGGACCCCTGGTGCATTTTTGGGAGCACCGGGTGCTGCCCACTCTTCCTGCTATACGGCCGCGAGTGCTTCGCATATCCGAGTTGTGCTCAAAGATGATACGCTTGGGCTAGGAGCTCGCCCCCGAAATCCACTTGCAGAAGATGAGCCTACAGGGCTGGATGCCTTTCAGGATCTATTAGGTCGCCTAAACGGAAAGAGTGATGTGGAGTTGGTCAAGGAACAACGCCGAAGGGAGGATATCAAACTTCTCAGTTTCGTGGAGAGAAGGTGGAAGAGCATGGCTTTTGTGCCGGGGGGATACCTGGTCAAGGAAGATCCGGCGAGGACTTTAGTTGTGGCAGAACAAGCCAACAAGGATGACTCCAGTGACCCGAAGTCGGGGCAAGAAACAACGCAGAAACGTCCCAAAAAGGAAAAAAGAAAGGAGAAACCTCGACATAGGGAAGAACCCATAGACTCGAGATCAATCTCCTCTAAATCTGAACGGGGCACTATTAACTCCGCCGATCAAACCTCCGATGATGAAAGTACGAACATCGTGCCAAGTGAAAGCAAATCGCGCAAGAAAGAAAAGAAGAAGAAGCCAAAAAAAAGGAAAATGGATGAGGTCAATGAGGAAGAATCGGTCCCCGATGGCCGAATCGGCTGCAAGGGAATCTTACCCAACAAGCAATCTGCTCAGCAATCCACTGGAGAACGATATATCAACGGGGACAGTATGATCAATGTTAGGGAACATCGACCACTGGGCCGTCAAGTCATACGAAGTCGTTATATTCAACAGAAGAAGATGGCGTTGTTGGACGCTAAGTCATTAAACGAGGTATGGATATCTTGATTCCGTGTGTATATCCTCAGATTGGCTGACAATTTTTTGCAGATTTTTATGACATCTTGAATTTTCTGAGGCGGTGCCTGCCAGTTTGAGCCGCAAATTCCTGGGACTTGATGTCGTATCAAGCCTTCCTTGTCTTCGCTTTTTAATTCTATATAATTGCTGTATCTTGATAAAAGAGAAAGCATGCAAAAGGAAGCAAAAGGAAGCTGAAACCTTGTTGTTTCTGTTGCTCTACTGTGAAAAGTTCCCTTGCAAGTTTCTGACATGTATGTTTGTGGGCTTACTATACCGTTTTCTGTCTTCCCGGATTGATACCATAAAATATTCTCACCAGCTATGTAAAGAACGTATCACATATCGTGTCATATGCCAAATCTGCATCAACCAGATTCACCTTTTTAACTCCCCCCCCCCCCCAAAACACACATTGCTACTGCCATATGATGATGTTGAATGTTTAACCCATATTATCTTGCCGGTTGTCTCTATAATTGTTAAACCCAAGCACAAAATAATGAAACAGTATTGCTCGCACAACCTTCTTTTTGTTCTTCCAGTTCTCCAAGTGGTCCGGCACGAGTTTCTTTCCCCAAATACCTTAATGAAACATGGCCCAGCATGATTCTCTTTCCACTTCAGGGGGCCTTGGTCTTGCTAGGCTTGAAGGCCGCCTTGCAGAGCGCTTCTTTGCTCCTCATACTCCCACTTATGGAAGCAAGTTTCAGTTGGACGTCAGCCCGGTTCACTCCACATCTCCAGTGGTAAGAACACCATCATCAGTGATGTTTCATTAAGCAAATCTAAATGACAACTTCGGCCAGTCTCAACCTATCAACCTGAAACCGGCCACAACCTGTGCCCTGAAGCACAATGGTTTTCTGGCCATTGCTGCCCGTGCCTTCCAGGAATCTGTGAAGCTTCCAGACGGCCCACCACCGGCAGTATGGGCCCCACACAACAAAATGCACTCATACTATGAATGGCTCCTCTACAGGTTTGGCGCAGAGCTCCAGTCTAATCTTCGCCGGCAGGGGGTTTTTGACTACCTGACTTTTCGAAACGAGTGGCTTCGTCACGGTCGGAGCATTACAGATAACATCCGTGCCGAATGGGGTTTGCATCCACTTGGTTCGACTGCGGCAGTTAAGACAACCCTGGAGACGGAATATACTGAGGCCGCGGTTCGTGCTGTGGAGGCTACAGTCAAGTTTCCCACGATGCCTCCCCCAGAAGGATGGAGGCTTGGTGACGGTCTCCATCCTTATTATGACACCATGCTCCGCCGATTCCATAATCACATGTGCGATATGTTGGAGCAATGGGGCGCTGGATTATTTCAAAGAAGAGCAGAAGCTAGCGATGCTGTTGGCAGTTACAAAGAATACATCATCCGCGAGTATCGAAAAACATGGATCCAAATGTTTGGTATCCCGGACCTTAAAGTTTCTGTCGACGTTCAGCCCTCTTCTGTTAACTAACTCATCCCATCTGGCACTCGGGCCTTTAGACGTACAGCTCTGTCGCTAGCACCACCAAGCTGCGGCAGGTAGGCGTTTGTACCGAGTTAAAAAAATCAAAGATTTTGCCAAGGAATTTTAGTTAACAATCGATCCTTCCACTTACGGAGTACCAGGTACAAACCTTGTTATTTCGTAAATGGTTACTCCGTGCTCCGTAGTCAGGTGTAAATTAAAGTTTGTGACCAAAGGCAGCTGAAAATGAGTTAACTGACATCATCGGGTTATCCACACTACGGAGCAGCTTGGAGGAGAATCGACGCTCTTGTGATTCGGTTGGCGCTGTTCGATCCTTGACATCAGGTACTCAGTTACGTGACCCAAAATATCTAGGTTTCTGCAGAGGCATTTTTCGTCAATATTCTGCTCTCAAATTTCTCACTGTCAAAGGGCTACGCCATATGCTATCTTTAGAGTTCAATGACGCTGAGTAGGAGTGGCGGAACTTCCTCACATCAATGCCGGATATCGACAGGATAGCGTCAGGAATGAGTATGTTGAAGGAGAATGGCGACCATCTCTTAATTGATGAGCACTCTGTCTTGCCTTCCACAGCCCACCAACCACTTAAAGGCTGCCCGAGCGATGCTGCCCCAAGAGGGGGTTCCATCAGCACCGAAGAGACCTGGCAAGATGGGCGAGCAGGTTCAATCTGTCCCGAAAGGGATGGTGAACTCCATTGTAAACGCCCGGGGGATGTGGCATCAGCCTTCGATAAGAGGATCCTATTGAACGAAACCCCTTCTGGGCTTGGAGAGGTAGAAAGTTCTCTTGGGTACGTGCTGTGAATTATTAACACGGCCAGTAGCGTCCCGGCCCCCTTACTCATACTCTTCTCGACTCCAGGGTTCGGTGGGCTCCTCTTAGCATTAGCCCGAGACGACGCTTTCAGACTTTAGTGGTCCTGTATCACACCGTTTCCATCGCTATATTTCTAACAGCTTTCTTCTTCTCCTGCGCCATACCGTTATTCTGGCCGCTTTTGCTGCCCTACCTTATTTATATTTCGCTGTTTTCGAAGGTGGCCACTGACGGCTCTCTACGACGGCGGAGTCGGTTTCTGCGATCGCTTAGAATCTGGACGTATTTCGCAGGATACTTCCCGGCGAAGCTTCATCGCTCCGAAGTTCTTTCACCAACGAGAAAATATATTTTCGGATATCATCCCCATGGGATTATATCGCATGGAGCCTTCGCAGCTTTTGCGACTGAAGCTCTCGGGTTCTCCGAGCTTTTTCCCGGTATTACCAATACCTTACTTACCCTAGATTCTAATTTCCGCCTCCCTTTCTATCGCGATTACGCTCTAGCTATGGGTCTAGGAAGTGTGTCTCGCGAATCCTGCGAAAACCTTCTCTCCAGGGGAGGCGCAGATGGAGAGGGCATGGGACGAGCAATTACCATTGTGGTTGGGGGTGCGCGTGAATCTCTGGATGCCCAGCCACACATGATTCGTCTAGTCTTAAAGCGACGCAAGGGCTTCATCAAACTTGCCATTCGCACAGGCGCAGATCTTGTGCCGGTGCTGGCGTTCGGGGAGAACGAATTATATAAACAAGTGGCGTCCGACCAACATCCCCTCATACATAAATTTCAGCTTCTAGTGAAGCGTACGATGGGATTCACGATCCCTCTTTTCCATGCCAGGGGCGTGTTCAACTATGATGTTGGATTGATGCCGTATCGAAGGCCGTTAAATATTGTGGTCGGGAGACCGATTCAAGTGATGCAGGAACGAAACAAGAATAACATTGAAGATGCGTACGTGGATGAACTGCATGCCAGATATGTCGCCGGTTTACAGAAACTATGGGAGGAGTGGAAGGATACGTTCGCAACGGAAAGGGCATCGGAATTGGAAATTAACTGATTATCTTGAGTCATGGGATATTAAATGCCCATTGTGTTTAAGTTGACTGTCTCTTTTCTATGGTTAACCGTCCTGCGTTACATATTCAGCGCTCCTACCTGGTCAAATCAAGGACTAAAAAAATAATGGTTCTCGGAAAATATCCCACCAACAGGAACAGGGAGATTTGCTGTTGTGGTAACCCCCATCCCCCGGGGCACCCTATTTATTCCCGTCATATGGGACAGCGAGCCCATTAATGGGTGCCGTACGTACGTATGTACATACATACCCAACATACAGTGAGGGCTTGTTATCTAGGACCGATAACGTACCCGTCAGATACTCCGTATTTAACTACCAAATAAAGCTTTGCCAATCCAAGGGACCATCCACATTTTTCCATCTCTTTTGCCCAATCGCTCTCTCCCAGCCAAGTATAACTCCCAGTAGTCGACATGTTACACTGCTCACGCCGCATACTATGGCATCTGACGAGCCAAGCACAGCAAGATCGAGTATGTATGCGCGACCGACAAATTCACGTAGCCGTAGCGCATTATCTAGGGACTGGAGGTGAAGTTGGTCATCATCCGAAGGAAAGGTGCTCGTATCAGCACTCTGCCCCGATAAGGGATGAGTGGTACCGCTGGAAGAAGAAAGTGAAGTAGGATATTTTGATGGGGGTGGACTATCACTTCTTCTTGGCCGAGAAAATGGGGAGCCCAGGGACCAGAATAAGCCATTAAAAAATCCCCCCTCCCAGCCACTATTCGTGTCCACGGGCTGCCTGGGTGTAGCTGAGGCCGCGCCAAGCGTAGATTTACTTATTAGGGAGATATATGATTGGGCCTTCCGGACATGTCTCATTTCTGGCGCTAGATACACATCTGGGTCGTCAGAGCCCACGATCGTCGTGTTCTTTGCGGATTGCGAAAGGGACTGAGCAGTGAGTGACTTGACCAGTTCTTCAGCTCGTTGGGTGTAAACGTCCAGGGGAATGTAGGAATTTTCATATTGAAATTCTAGAGGGTGACAGTCACCACGCCGTATGTGAATCCCAACCTGAACCCCCTGCCTATCGGTCCTTAGCTGCATGATCCGTTTCCTGTAAAACGCATTGTCGGTGTCGCTCAAAAGAAAGAGATTCTCATATCCAGTTCGAAGAAGCGAGAATATGGGCTTCTGCCGATCAACGCCAGTTTTATGTCGGCTTTCAAACCGTTCGCTGAAATTCTTGTTGAATATCCAGCGGAAGGTAGACGGCGAAACCAGTAGATGACGCGCCTGTAAGGGACATGGTATCCGCTGGGACATAAATGGAGGATGACATGTCGGTAATGGTGGAGCTTTGAAATATGTAGTATATTTGCCATAGGCCCAATTGGAATCATCAATAAAGAACGCCCGCCCTTCTTCTTTGGCGAGTCCATAGGCCATCCATAAACCCATCAATGCCACACCGAAGCCAGCATCATCCGACTCTAGCACGAAGGTTAAGGACTTTTTGCACGGAGGTAAATCTTCAGTACTATGCTCCTGTCGGCCCAATCCAGCCATTGTTTTAGCAGGGAATTGGGTAGGGTAATTGCTAGGAAGGAGGCCTAGTTCTTGCGCATCAACAATGTCTATAAAGTTCTTGTCCTGGTAGTGAAATCCATAGAGTTGCCCATTAATTGTTCGTGACTTAGTATTCGTTATTAACGAGACATGAGCCGCCAAGTCCCACGTCTCCATGCATATTCTCGCATAAGTAGAGGGAGACAGTGGCAGGATATGATCCGGTGGAATTGAGACTGTCCATCGGGTCCGTCCTTTTTCATCTTTGATCATAATAGGTCCAGGAGTGTCCGGTAATGTATTGCTTCCAAAACTTTCGGATGCATTTTCCCCATGCGATTGGCAAGCAACGGCAGCACCTTCAATGTGCCAAATTGAAAACGTAAGCCAGGTAACGGTGAGGCAACAGCCGAGAATTAGACTTAAGCGCCACCATGGTTTTAGAACACGCAAATCGGAGGACCTGGGAGCACGAGGAGGGAATGTTGATGGAAGGCTTGGTGATGGCAGAGGGGAGTTGATGAACGGAACTCGCAAGACTAGCGGAGCCAGCCGAAGGCTGCCTGGTGTGTGGGTCCTGCGAACAGCCATCCCATATGGATCACGCCGTGATGAGATAATCATATCCGTAGTTTTATGCACTTTTGGTTATCCCTATCACGAATGATACACTGGACGGATGAGTATATAGCTTGCGGGGATCAAACATATGGAGGGGGATGGGAAGTTTTGTTTCAGTAGAGAACAATATCCATCTGTTAAGTGTGCTCTGTGGTAGGAGCAAAGGGCTGGCTGATGTAGCGGCGGGGGAAGTAACTAAGCGGGGATAATAGACACCTATATTGGAGGTAAAAACAAACACTTCAGGCTGGTGGAGGGAAGAACCAGCTTGAAACCAATCGTTGATAATAATCACAGTAGATGTCCTTCTGAAAAGATTAAGAGATCTAGTCAGTATTATCACACACCAGCTGACATTGACAGAATGAAGGATTGGTAAGGAGCGATTGGGCTTTGTATGTTAATGAAAAAGGATGCGCTTCTTCTCAAGCATTGACATGGGGAGTAGAAGGCAGGACAGCAGCAGCATGATATGGTTGACCTAAGAGACAAGATAGACGGAAAGTTGTGTAGCCAGGTCAAGACTGCTAAATTACCGTGAAGAGACTGACTCCTTGGCCAGTGTATTCCGTACTCAAAGAGCGAGAAAAGTAAAATAACCTAGAAGAATGTGAGAAGTGAAAACTGATAACCCGGACATTCTTCACTTATCAACCAGTGACTGAAAACCAAAAATCATGGGTTGGTCACTCAAGGAGCTTGTGAATCCATGCCAAGTAATTACTTTCGCGGATGTGGACAATGGTGCCACAAGCTGTCGAAGAAGTATCACATGTTAATTGCGGAGTCTCCAGATGATTTGCCGCCTGGGTGTGTTTCATTGGAGTTTCAAAGTGTGCTTCTCAGACCTCCCCGCCTGAAAGTTGAAGGTGGTCAATCACGATTGTTGTCTGTCACCGAACTAAATTAGGATCATCATTTTGTGGCAGATCCTCAGTGGGATTGTTTCAGAACTTACCTTGAGAATTTGTTGCTGCACTTTGATCCCCTAACCTCTTCGTTTTGGTTTCCTGCTTCTTCCTAGAGAATAGCTTCATACATGTTAGTGGCTTATGGGATTGTCTGCGGTGGCTTCTCTGTTCTCTAGAGCCCTGTGGATGGATAGATGGATGGTATAGAATATGTGAAGTGCATATTTTTGCGACTCTGGAAAACAAAGTAAAGCCAGGAGTGTATTATAACTGCTCAAAAGCTTGAAATGTAGGGTAGTTAACCAGTCTTGAGGCTGGAGGATTGTATCAAGACAAGCAGAGATATCCCTGATAACGGCCAGAAGCAAGAATCATCAAAAAAAGAGGAGTTTTGAAACAAAGGTGGTCTGGGTAATGTTGCGTATCTAGGGTAGAACAGGTGATAACCATCTGGTAAATAATCCAAAGTCTCGAGTCAAACTATATACATCAAGCAGATTAATTGAATGGGTATCACAAATTCACAAACAAGAAGGAACAAACATAACTGTCAAGAACTGCAAAAAATAAAAATAAAGGGTTGATAAGTCATCACGATAAAACAAAAGAAGTATTCATCATCAGGCGGTTCAAGTGGTCGTTATTCATGACAAAGCGGCATCTGCAACTTCCTGAAGTGGAGCTGCTATTCTTTCAAACATGGGAGGGGCATTGGTGGGGGACGGGCTTGTTGCTTCTAACGATGTCTCCTTTCGTAGTCCGCTGGCCAAGCGGACGCTTCCTCTCATGCCCTTGACCAAATGCCCACTCTCCACTCGGTCTTGAATCATCTCGTCAAGCATTCGGGACATTTCGTCCACACTTCGTCTTTTCTTGTCTCTATCCTTTTCCACTATTTTCGTTGGAGACAGAAGGTTTACAGGGCTACCTGCAGGTGCGGGAGCAGGGCCCATAATTGGGCTGCTGGTGCTCTCGAAGCTTAAGTGGTTCGGCCGATGTCCACGCAGGGGGATGGATGGCGGTTTAGGAGGATCAGGAGGTAGGGACTCCGCTGCTAATTGCGCTATTTCACGCTGGCGTGCGGCAGAGCGAAGCGCGGCCACCATTCTATCCTTATCGTCCAATTGAAGACGTAAATCTGCGATCTCCATGTCTTTCTCACGGAGTAACGCTGCAATCTCAGGATCACAAGGCGATGATCCCCCGGCTTTGAGCTGAGACAGGCCTACGGACATTCGAGAATGACTTGAACGCCGTGCTTGTAGTAGCCTTCGTTCTAAGGTGGATATGTAGCGGTTTTTATCTGCTAGGTCTGCTTGCAGTGCATTGATTTGTGCCTGCAGGCTGGCGGTACCGTCTGCAAACTCTCCAATAGTGTCCTCTTCATAATCACCACTTCCGAACGACGGACCTTGATCGTGTGGCGCTCCGCTGCCACTCTTGACGGACGTTGTTGACCGTGATCGATGTAGCTGCAAACCACCCAAAGCCGAATGCGACCCCGATGAACGTAGAGATTTTAAATCAAAGCCACGTAGTTGAAGCCCCGTTAAGGAAAAGTTTCCACTGGCATTCACACCTGTAGACTTTGAGCACAGAATCAAGCGATTGAGATGTTCGATGCGTTCCTTCAACGCCGTCCTGGCAAGTTGCATTTCTAGCATCTGCTCCTCGTGACGTGTTTCCGCTTCTTTCTCGAATCGTTCTTCTTCCAGCCTTGATTCTTGTTCAGCGTGTGACTTGCCCTGTTTCTCGAGCTGTGCCCGAAGTGCCTGAATTTCCATCCGATATCGTTCTAGGAGAACACGACTACCTGCATCTCCCGATACACCGGCATGAGCCTCTTCCGCACGCTTTGCATGGCTCACAATATTGTTTTTTGCCCTGGCAGCAAATTTTAATGTGTTTAATGTTTCATTCGTGTGTGTATTGGCAGCTGTATTACCTCCTGTTGATCCTATTTGGATCGTACAGAGAATACTGACCAATGAATTTCCCGACAGAGCGGGTTGCAACAATCGCGTAAGCTTGCTGTCTCGGTATGGGAGATGCTTTCCATCGCGATCCGAGTGGCTTGTCGCTTTATCCTTGTCACCAGACAACCTCGCAATAACCGTACCGAGAGTGAGTAAACTTTTATTAATGTGAGCGCCTTCAGTTCTTCTCTCCTTGTTTTCAGCTGCACGCTCGGAGCCGGCCAAATCGATCAAGCTGAGCGTTGAGACCCGTACACCTCCCGGCACTAGACCCGTGCGCCTTTCATGGCCCGGGGTAGAGGCTGCGCCTCGTTCTCGACTTTCAACCACAATTTGAACCACGGCATGACTTCGTGAACTACGGGCGTTAAACTGGGTACTTCCGGTCCTCCTGGCATGGTCTCCCCTGGCAATCACCCTGAGTAGCTGCGTCGGACTCTGAACTATTTCTTCTTTCAAGGGTGTCGCATATACACCTCGCTTGCTATCTTCTCGCAGCTTGATTTCTTCTTGTTGCCCTGGGCCCGGTCCTATGCCGGCGGACGCTGGGGTAGAGAGAAGATCATGAATTTTCTCGTTATAAATTTCCAAATAGCTCACTCGCAAGAGGAATTCGCGATGAGGGGTCTCACGAATGTAGGAGAAAATATCGGTGATTGCTAAGGGTATGACTCCGGGTGATGTGGCTGTACCTTGCATTGAAAATGTTTTACCAGTACCCGTCATTCCGTACGCAAAGACGGTTCCATGGTAACCCTCCATAACGCGACGAACAAGTCGCTTTGCGCATGCATCGTAAACCTTAGCGTTGGTATCATGGGTCGCAAAAACATTATCTGTAAATTTAGGTCAGTTCGCACGAGTAGAGACAGCTTCTCCAGAGGCTGGGTTGAAACATCGGTATCGGCTTACCATAGAAATAGTCCCCCCCTTCTTTCCCACGATAGGACACCAAAGATCTCCTCCCGTCCACTAGCCACTCGACTTCCGTTTTGCTGCTATCATTGTTTGTGGAATCAGGACGAACTCTGACACTAACGATCACATTGCCTTTTCCTTCCTTCATTTTTGATCCGCGTTTGCTTGTGCCAGGTTGTGCGGTAGGCTCTTCCCTTCTCCTTCGACCGTTGTCATCGCAATCGTCAAAAGTAGTGGCACTAGTAGAATAGGTTGATCCCTGTGCTGAAGAGCTCCGGCTCGGTGTCGGCGATTGGAGCGTAGAAGAGCGGATTTCTGTACTTCGGCCTGTTTGAGTCGAACTGTCTTCTCCGCTGCTATCCTGAAAAGCCGTAACTCCAGAACTATTGGGGTTGTTCGTAATTCCTGTATGGATTCTATGGGGCTTTTTGGATTTTAAGCCACCCGATGGGGTACTAGAATCTAAAGGACGAGAATTGGCGGTCGGCAAATTGTAAAGAGACGAAGAACTGGAAATGAGCGATGCACGACTAGCCATTTTGGAAGGATGTGGGAATGCAGCGACACTAGCAGCTCGTCGTACCGCTCTCTCGGGACTGTTTGATATATGACCCATAGACGGCGATCTTCCTGTAGCATTATTACTATTGAAGGTAGGCGACGGGATAGTAGATTTTGCAGCTGTCTTCACGGCCGAAGGAGTGCGCAATTTAGTAGAGGATGCATGGGTGGCAGGAATTCTCGCATCGGCGGGTCCTGGCGTGCTCCTTTTTAGTTTGCCTGTGGGTAGAGGTGGAAGCACTGTGGACGGAGGGTTCGTGGTTGGGCGCGACGGTTGTGGTGTCGTTGAAGTCATTTTCCAAGCATCTGTCGAGTGATAAGTTATGAATGCAAAGGTGCCGGTTCATTGGGACAAGTACAGGTTAGCGGGGGATGGTTATAGGTGTGTATTTCTGCATATAATATGCAATAACCGCTGAAACTGAAGGAGTGGTGGTTTTAGTTATGCAGAGGACAAATCAATCTCCTCTGCGCTCTGTACTTATGATGTGGGCTGCAATTCATCAACGACTACTCCGTATTCTCGTGGGGGGACAGAACAGATTCAAATCTCATGAACATCGGGTGTTCTGTATCATAATCAAAATAATAGCAAAGATTGAAGACAGACAGAGATATTTCTATGGGAAAGAGGACTTCATAGCATGGAATCCCGAATTCATGCCCATCAGTTTTCAAGGCTCTAGCTTCAGGGGGAGGGTTCATTCAGGGGAGGAGAGGTAGGAAAGCAAAGAGCCTGCGTCCGTAACCCCGTCCGATTGGACAGCCGCGAAAAACTACAGAGTACGGAGTACGTTGGACTCAGCAGTGCTCCGTACACATGCTGGTTACGGCTCCGTACGGAGTAACTAGTTATGTACTCCGAAGTTAGTTACATAACTAGTTACTTGGTTCAGCATTAGTCAGCCAATCCCAGGAAAACCTGCGACCTCCGTTCTATTGTTAGCTATTGTTATCTTTACTCGACATTCTTGTCGCGGCGGATGACGGAGTGTTCCCTGACGACCGACAAACGGGCTATACCTCAACATGTCGAGCACTCCCTGAGGCGAAATCGGAGTCAGACGTCAAAAGATTCGATCAAAGACAATCAGGTGTTCACTGTGAATGTTTTCTCGCCATGTCAGTTAGATTTGTCTCGTCAGTAGTTAAGAAAGCACCTGTTGACTTGAGGTTCTCCCTGTTCTAGGTTTGAGAAGTCGCTTTACGACCTCATACGAGGCCTCCGAAATCACAAGGGTAACGAGGGTGAATATATCCAAAATAGCTTACGAGAATGCCGAACGGAGATTAAGTCACAGGATATGGGTCAGTATTTTTCGTTGACGTCTCGGAGCATACCAGCTCATCTTCCTCCTAGATAAAAAGGCGACCGCCCTGCTTAAATTGATATACCTTGAGATGTTTGGATACGATATGTCGTGGGCGGCATTCCATGTACTCGAAGTGATGTCCTCGCAAAATTATCTTCAAAAAAGAGTTGGATATCTTGGAGCGGTCCAAAGCTTTCGACCCGATACTGAGGTCCTAATGTTGACCACCAACCTCCTCAAGAAGGTTCTATATTTCATCTCGCTAGTTTCCTTATTGAATTCATACTTAAATCTTTCTTAGGATATGGTTTCTCCGCTTGTGCCTACAATGTCGTTGCCTCTCTCTACTTTGCCTCATATCATATCACCATCCCTTGCGTTGTCGCTCCTTTCAGACCTGCTGCCTCGCCTCTCCCACTCTCACCCATCAGTTCGAAAAAAATCCGTTGTTAATCTTTACCGCCTTTCTCTTGTGTATCCGGAAGCACTACGGCTCGCGTGGCCAAAGATGAAGGAGCGCCTGATGGACGAACATGAAGATAGCAGCGTAACTGCAGCGGTGATAAATGTCGTGTGTGAGCTTGGTTGGAGGAGACCCCGGGATTTTCTACCCCTTGCACCGAGATTATTCGGACTACTAGTAGACGGTGGCAACAATTGGATGGCGATTAAGATTGTTAAACTAGTAAGTTTTCTCAACAAACGTTTCTGATCGGGTGCTAAACGTGTTAGTTTGCTTCGTTAACGCCCTTGGAGCCGCGACTCGTTCGCAAGCTCCTTCGACCCCTAACGACCATTATCCAAACAACGTCGGCCATGTCCCTTCTTTGCGAGTGCATCAACGGAGTTATTCAGGGCGGGATCCTTGAAGGCTCAGAAGGAGTCCGAGAGGGAGAGGTCATCGCACATTTATGCGTCGAGAAGCTTCGTGCGATGCTTGTTTTGGGAGAAGACCCGAACCGTAAGCCCAGAAACGTTTCACTAAAGATTAACCCTTCCCTGACCGTATTTATAGTGAAATATGTTGCTCTCCTCGCATTTAACAGAATAGCCCTCTCGCATCCAATGCTCGTTTCCCAACAACAGGACGTACTTATGGACTGTTTGGATGACAACGACGTATCGATTCGGCTACAGGCATTGCAACTCGTGTCGAGGATGGTAACCAATGAAAATTTACAACTTGTGGTCGATCGGTTAATCACGCAACTTCGAACTTCCCCTCTACTAGACACAACAGTAGCAAAATTAACTCTTGAAGTAAAACCGTCTGCGGATATTGAAGGCGAAGACCCTGAAGAACCATTGGAGATCACAAACAAAAAGCAGGATGGAGTGCTCGCTCTCCCAGCCGATTACCGCGTAGAAGTTCTCAAACGGATTTTAGAAGTGTGTTCTCAAAATACTTATTCCGCCATCGTTGACTTTGAGTGGTATGTCGACGTTCTGGTCCAGCTTATGAAGCTAATTCCCCCTCTGAACGAACCTCGGAACAAGCGAGCCATGAAACCGACCGAATTCTTAGGAGAAAAGGAAGACCTCGCGTCACAGATCGGGTTCGAACTCCGCAACGTTGCGGTCCGGGTGAGGACCGCAAGGCCCAAGGCCACGCGTGCTGCCGAGTCCTTGGTTTTAGTGGAGAACCGAGCAGCCCTGTTCCCAATTACCCCCGCCTCGGGAGTTGCAATACTAGAAGCTACAGCCTGGGTAGCGGGCGAGTTTTCCGAGTATCTTTTCACGCCGGAGCAGGTGCTATCTTCGTTGATTCATCCATCGAATTTGGCCCTGCCATCAAGAGTATTGTCTTCATATCTTCAGACCATCCCCAAAATTTTTGTTCGAATAACAAGCCATCATGTTTGGAGTGCAGCAAAGCAGAGTGAGATATCAACTCTGCTTGCAAATGTTATTATTTTCTTGGACAAACTCTCTTCACATCCTGATTTGGACGTGCAGGAGCGCGCTCTTGAATTTCTGGAACTTTTCCATATCACTGCAGAAGCAATTTCCACAGCAGACCCTGGAGGGGACGAGGGCCCTCTACTTTTATATTCAGCCATTCCTAGGCTCTTCTCTGGTCTTGATCTCAACCCAGTTGCTGCCGATGCTCAGAGGAAGGTACCAGTACCAAATACCTTAGATCTGGAATCGGTGCTTGATGAGAACGTACCTTATATCTTGAGAGAATCAGAGAATAGTCGTCTCGGTTGCTGTGGTCAGAATGATCTCAACTTTTTCTATCATGTACAATTGCCTTCTCCTAGCGGAAAACCGCTCCCGAAGGAGACTCTGGCATGGGGGAAGTTGCAACCTACATCGTACCAAAACCTATCGGATGACATTGTTGATACAACGGAGGTAGCAAGACGACGGGCAGAACGGAAAGAACGGAATGATGATGACCCTTTTTACATACGACAGAAGGACAACCTTTCCGGACCATCCTCTCCATTGCATCACGCAGACCACAATGTCAACAGTGAAAACGTCGACATTGATTCAATACCCATAGTTGATCTGGCTCTTGAGAGTGCCCAGGCGCTCGAGGCACGCCAAGGACCAAAAGCTGTTGATCGCCATGAGAATGTCGAAATCATAGCTGACGAAACCATTGACTTATGTGAGAGTCCTTCGAACGAAAAATTGCTCTTTCGGTCAGGCAGAGCGAGGAAGCCGCTGCTTGAAGTGGATTCAAGTAGGCTCGGCCGTCTCCCGCTTGAAGAAAAGAATGACACTAGTCACCATGTTAATCAATTGGCACACAAAGAGTTTGAGGCTGTAGAGATGGCCGAGGCCATGGCAAGAATCGAAAGGGTTCGATTAGAAATGCAACGTGTTTCTGAACGCATACACATTGATGAAGATATACCTCCGGAAGGTACCCTAGTGAAACGGAAAAAGAAAAAGAAAGGTCCTGACTCAGTGAATCAGAAACACACCAAGGGGTTAGTGGTCAACTACAATATGCATGGAGATGATGTGGCAGAATCCAAAAAGAAAAAGAAAAAGAAAAAGAAAAAACAAACCACCAAGAAGGAAACCCCTTTGTCACCAGGCTGAGCTTATTGAGAGCATCTTGAAGTTTGCATTGTGAACAATCAAGTTGCTAGAGTACTGTATGGAACTGTAACAGGCAACTTTCTCCTTGTCAATACCACAGCAGTGATTTTCTTACCCACAACGAAAGCTCTTGTCACTTGATAGCTTTTGGTCTATAACAGACACATTATTAACATGGCTCATGTTCCATGCGTAACTTTTCACTCAATGCAAAATGTAGGCTCAATAAGACCTACAACCGTAACAGGAACTAATAAATATTTGGGATGAAAGTTTACCAAAATTTATTTACCAACAGATCAAAGCCAGCTAAAAAGACAAAGGTGATTGATATCAATGTTAACTTGTCCATCGACTAATCAATGATGATATCAAACCCCATAATTCTGGAATGACCCGTACTAGTTCAAACATAACACCACCACACACAACAAATGCAAGCACAACTATAATAGATATCATCAATTCTATGTCATGGGGTGTGGAAAGACAGAATGTGAACCAGAAGAATTGCATGAACATACCGACCCAGCCTGTTGAGAGAGATGCCTTTGGCTTTATCTTTGCCTTTGAAATGTTCTCTGGTTTGCCTCGCTTGGCAGTTTCATTCTTTGCGTATCTTTCATTTGCTCTTCGTTGTTGTGGAGTCTGAGCCTGGGTTGTGGAATTCAGTCAGTTAATGTTTGATGGCACCCTAGATAAGGGGGACTATACCATTGTGCTAGAGGTAGAAGAGCCAACTCTTTCAAATTTCAGTGTTCAATTGGCCTTATTGTTGGCGTAGAGTGTAGTTAAATATGTGTGTGTCTGATGATCAATGAAAGCGAGTTGGGTTGATATAATATGATGTTGCCCACCAAGAAGGGAAATTGCCAGTTGTCCTTTTCACTCAAACCATTTCCTGAACAGCTGTGGCATACAGGTCATTGATAGACAGCGAGGGGATGATGTCACTGCCTAAGCCCAATAACTTTCAATAAAGAGCAATGAATTATTTACAGCAGCAGTTGTCAAAAGAGCAAGTTACTTCCCACCAGGAACCACAATCAGCTGTCCTGGGGTTATTACAGAAGGGCATAGGCGCCAGCCTGCCAATTTTCAGAATTGACCAGATTTTATTTCAACAGGCCAACCAGGTGTAGTTTTTTGGAGACGCACACAAAGCTCTTTCACAACAGATTTAGCATCTTTATGTAATCACTGGGAAAGTTTTTAACTTTTTATTGAAGCTCAGGCAGGTTGGTATCTGAAAGAGATAAGTTGACGATCTGAGATGACTTAAAGAAATACAGGATGGCTGTGAGGGTCAAAGCACATTGAAAATTTATTTTAGTGTCATAGTAAGCTAAGGATGTACTCTGTACAGAGTACTTGGGATTGTATAACCACCTGATGACATGACCGCAGAGCGCTCACAAATTTTCAAACCTCAATTGAGCACAGGCTCATAAGCTCATTGCAGGAGTGTGCTTGTAGTGAACTTCTCCAAGCTATTTAGGGTAAGTTAATATCCAATTATGAATTTATCATCATAATTTCCAGCAACCAAAAGCATATTCTAAATGTAATTCATTATTTTGCATGCTAAACTTCAACATGTTGCAATTTGTGTGTTGCTAACTGATGAAGTTTGTGGACAACATCCACTGGAGGAAGATCACTCTCCTTGCCTTCTGATTTCACATCTATCAACTCCAAAAGGCGTTTTGAACTCTGAAAGATATCAATCTTAGCAACTAGAACCAAACCACAATATAACGATGGAAACAAAAAGATAGGAGGAATTATGAGCTCACCAGCTGTAGGCCAATATACCCCCTGACATAGCCATCACAAAGTTCAATACTTCGACAAAAGCGTTTAACAGACTCAGCTAAAACCCTAAGGGCTGCTTCTGTATTGCTTGATAAAACTGTTGATTTGTACAACATCTCACCTAGTCTCGCATGTAGCTGGCAATCGTATGAGTCAAACCAGGAAATTTAGCTAGGATGGTGGCAACGTACATTCCATGCATTTGGAACAACAAGAAGGGCCTCTTCAAGGCAAAAAATAGCCTGAGCGTGTAACCCTTGACATTCGTAGAGGCTTGAAAGCTCGCACCAAGCGTCAGCGTCTGTGGGGAACGCATCGAGGAACTCGACGAGAGCAGAAATTGCATCGGTATTACGTGCCATAGAGCGCAAAAGCGCGACACGACGCTTCAATATAGGCTGCGATAACTGCACTTAGACAATTTGAAGTTTCACATCAGTAAAACCGAGAGGTGTAACGGACCACATTTACAGGATTATCTTTCAGCACAAGATCATAACCCCTCAATATGCTCTCCAGAGCCGCTTCGTTCTCGGCAAGGGCCTCCTCATAGAGTCCCCGTAGTCCCATCACGCGTTCGTTCGCCGGTCCGAATCGGGTCGTCATGCGCTGTAAGCAATCCAAAGCGCATTTATCGTCTTTTGTCGCCAAGCAGGCCACCAGGAGATTCTCATAGTTCGCCCAGAGCTCCGGAGTCTCCGGTTTTGAAAAAAGGGTTAGAGGAAACAGGTGAGAACCGGGGGGATTTCTAAGGATAGCCGGAGCTTGCTGGGAAAGGTCCAACAAACTGTGGATATGGGATGACCTCAATTTCATCTGTGAATGGGCTGGAGTAAAGTCCATGCTTGCACTGGTGTTTAGCCTTCTGGTCAACTTGTAAGCCCAATAATTTGATCTTCAAGTATTTATCAGCAGTAAATCCACAATATGTACGGAGTACCTTGTTGTGAACTTGCAAACCAACTACTCTGCACAGATGTCTTTTGTATGTATGTACATCCACAGGTTTTCAAGTTGTTTTTCATCTAGAATGGTAACAGCATCTAAAAAGTAGACAGCAAGAAGGTAGTTGCTCTAGAATTATTACACTTACAACATGCTGGATGTTTCACCACAAGTTTATTTTAACTAAGTTGATTATGACAGAGTACAGAGAACAAAGTACAGAGTACTCCGTACATCTACTGTTAACGCTATGGAGTAATTAAATAAATGTAGTTACTTGAGAGATATATTGTTAGAGTTATCTAGTTTGAAAGCAGCAATAGCTTTAATCAAATAACAAAACACAGTACGAGTATGATCCTGGCTAATTATTTTATATAATAGAAGACTATCAAGTTTGTATGGGTTGCCAACTACAGAGTACTCTGTACGAAGTGGTGCAAAATTTTGATTTTACGGTGCCAAGAAGTCACATCTTTTGCATACAACAAATTTACAAATTTTGTCAGACTGATCTGTACAGAGTTTATGTAGTCTACTTATAGAGTACTTTGCTAGTTAAATCTGTTCACCAGCCAGTCAAAATAGCTCTGGAAAATTGAACTTTTAACTTCTGAGAAGCTCAAACCTCCTTTTTCGATTCTGCATAGAGTGCGATCTCTCCCATTTCCAAAGCCCCTAGTCATTAGATGCTGAATAGAGATATTACAATGGCGAAGGGTGATGAGAAGCCCTTTCATGAAGATTTGATGCAGGTATGATGGCAATTTCACATGGTCGAAACTAGCTAATCTTAGAAACCACATTTCATTAACTAACTATGTAATTGTTCTAGGCTTTTGCTTACCTTGCAGAGTAAGATAGACCTTGACTGCTACCAACTTTCCACGACTTGGGTCTTGATTTCTGGCCAGAGTTTCGCGCTTGGTGGGATTTGATATCAGACCAGTTAATTACAAATATCTAGGGGCGAACAAACAGCACTGGCGCTCGAAAATCGGCTTTCCGATCTCGAAACGAAAATTGATTCTCTGCTTGTAGCGATAGAAGGGGGCCACGATGTATATACTGGGCGGTCTGATTCTAAGAGTCATGCGGTAGAATTCTGCCGCAACGGGTCTCAATTAGACGGTCGAACCTCAGTTTCGAATAAAGATCCGAGGTGAAACCGGCCATTTGCATCTTTCACCTCAACGCCTTTTTCAGTTACGATAGCATCGATCAGGGCAGCCGGAGTCACATCGAACGCGGGGTTCCACACGTTGATTCCATCCGCTGCAATCTTTATGTTTTCCATTACTATGTTCCCGCACTCATCCCCACGCTCTCGTGGTCCAGTAATTGTTGTGACTTCAGAATGTGGGCGTTCCTCAATTACAATATCTTTCCCAGTCCTTGTGCCCATATCGATGGTTGTACGAGGAGCTGCAACCACAAATTTAACCCCATGGTATTTCGCCAGAACCGCCAGTGTGTAGGTTCCGATTTTGTTCGCTGTATCACCATTGCTTGCGACGCGGTCGGCACCGACCACAATCGCGGCGATACTTTGCCCCATCTTTGCAAGAAGCTGTCCCGCCATGGAATCGGTTATCAGGGTGGCGGGAATTTGATCACTAACCAACTCGTAGGCAGTCAAGCGTGCCCCTTGGTTGTATGGACGCGTTTCTGTACAATAGGCATGACATAACTGGGATTTCTCATGAAGGTGACGAATGATACCAAGAGCAGTACCATAACCCGCAGTGGCTAACGATCTATAGCACGCAAAACTTATGGTTAGCGTATTAGTTCTGATTTGGGTGGTCGTCTCTAAAATGGTGGAAGCATAGCTCCCACAAAGCTTACCCAGTATTGCAGTGTGTTAATATGCAAAGCTTGGAATCTTCAACTCCAGAAGGGGTGTTTGCAACAATCCAGTTGGCACCATGTTCGCCAATTGAGCGATTGTCAGCAACATCGTGGACTAGCATGTTTTCTGCATACGCTATGAAAGACATTGCTATTTCTTCCCCGGAGCAAGTAAGTGTTCGAGTTTTCTGCTCCAGCACAGACTTCATCTTTCTCACACTGTCACTTAAATTCACAGCGGTTGGTCGGCTTGTGGCAAGATAATCCAGCTTCTCTTCAATATATACCCTGGTGTCTTCGGCATTCTTTGAAATCTTTTGCTGTGACACCAAGCCCGACATTTCAACAGCTAGAGACAGCATGGCTACGATGGCTATTGCAGGTGCCCCTCGCACATGCATTTCCTTAATCGAATGCCACCCATCTTCTGCGGACCTGATGGGAATAAAACGAGTGACATGAGGCAGCAGGAGCTGGTCAATAATTAAAAGATGACCTCGCTTGTACCTAATAGCCTCGAGTGCAGAAGTCATGTTGGTCCGGCTCCTGAAAATAACAAAAAAGATAAAAGGCGTTGTGATGAGGTGAGAAAATTAACCTTTCACAGTGAACTCTGACACATGGTGAACTCGGACACTTTTGCACGTGATGTAGTCTGATTTTTCAGCACCAATCAAATCTCTCAGTCTTCATTATTGTACATTTATTTCACAGCAAAAACTGATTTTGACTGCTTCAGCAGTAAAGAATCAAGAATTAAGTCAATAAAGAGCTCCTACATTATATAATGTTTCTCTTTTAAGTTTAAATAATTATATTTCTTGTTGTATGAATAAAAAGGTAGCTGATTTAAAGAAATAAAAGTTATTAATTTCTGAAAAAGCTGCTATTGTAAAATAAGTTTTTTTATAAATAAATATAATCTTTCTTCTTGATATTCTATTATATAAAGCATGGGGATCTTTTTTTTGAGAAACAAATAAATAGAATCTTAAAAACTATTGAACAAGACAGAACACCAATTTTTGCAAAATAATATTCTGAATTAAAGTCTAAATTTATACAAAAATTCAACTATAAATAATTTCTTTATAAAGATTTAAAGATTATACAAAAGCAGTTTAATTTAGTGAAGAAGATTATAGAAAAATATAAAATATTATTTAAGAATAATATAATATAAATAAGATTAGATTTGCAATAAAAATCATTTTTACTTATATAATTATTAACAATTTCAAAAAAAAAAATTGTTTAAAGTTACTGCAGCTAGAAAACTAAAAATAAATAACAGTAATTAATATAATTAACATATTAAAATAAGCTCTAGCTTCTGTAATTATATTCAAGAGAAAGAATTCAGAATTCTTTTTTATGTAAAGATTAAATTTTTGTTATAAACATAAATTAATTAAGTACCAGATAACATCAGATGTTCAGAAGAACTTATATAACTCTTCAACTCTGAATGTATAAGAATTATAAGATTTGCATAGATTATAAAAATCTAAGCATTCAGTTTTCTAGTTAGAGAATCTTTATATTCTATACATGACTTTCTCTTATCAGTTGCAGGTATTGAATCTACTTAGCTCTTTTATACTCTAAATTCTAGAAAAATCTATATACTTTGTATTCAGTTTTCTAATATTCTGAATACTTCAACATATAATTCTTTAAGTTAATATAATACTAACAAGATCTACAAGATAAACCATAACAATATTTTAGATTGCAAACTCAATAGAGACAGACATTAATATAGAGAAAATAAATATTAATAAAGATGCTAGTAGCAGTAAAGCAATCATCAGTAAAATATCAGTTAATAATACAAATAACAAAGATATATTCTTGAATGTATTAGATAAAATCAGAAGAAAAAAGACTTTTAAAGGAAAAAAAATATATTTATAAAAAAATCTAGCAAATATATATAAACAGAACAAAATATACAAACTGTAAAAGTAAATTAAATATAACTACTAACTAGCAAATAATAATCTTTTTTTAAAGTTTGTCTTGCAGATACAATTAACAAAAAAATCAGATAATTTTGATAATATAAAGTCTCTAAAGATATCTTATTACTATAGTAAATTGCTTGATAAGTGCAAGTTATAATTAGTCTTAATAAGATAGCAATTTTGCCTGAGAAAATTACTATAAAAAATTATCAGATGTAGTCAAAATTAATTAGATATTCAGCTATTTTTATAATAAATTTCAGATGCATTAGCAGATGTTAAAGATAGAGAGAGAATAATTACTCATATTATAAAATAAATTCAAGAGATAATGTGAGAATAATATTAAATTTAAAATAGCTTATATTATTATTATTATTATTATTATTCATTATAGTCTTATGCAGTCAGTAACTATAAAGACTACCTAACAGCTTCTCTGTTAGGATTTACTTAGTATACATTGTAGAAACTGAATAAAGAAAAAAATTCAAAGTATTTCAATGCAATATGAGATGTTCTCTCTCCACAAAAGTCAAATATCAGATAGAGCATAATATTAATTTTAAAGAAAAATAATAATTCTTGTAGCAATGTAATACAAATCAAAAGAAAATAAAATTAGCATATTTGGGAAAGCCACTATCTAGTAGCTATTCCAGTACATTTCAGAAATAAAACTAGCCATTTTAAGCCTAATTCACTTTCAAAAATAAAATTTAAAAATAGTTGAGAAATATCAAGTTCTTGTTGAATTTTTCTTCTTTCAGTATAATAAGCTGAGCAGTCTAATAATAGATGCTTTAGATTTTCAACACAATTACAGAAATAGTATAAATTGGAAGAGTAGTCAGATAATCTTATTAGATAAGATCTGAAATATTCATAATCAAGCTTTAATTGACAAATAGTTAACTATATCTTCTTAGATATAGAAAGAGTAGATGCTTTCCATCTGGATTTTATTTTAAATTAAGAGTAGTGATTTGTAGAACTTTCTCTATTAAAAAGATCTTTAAACTACTTTATCATTGCTTGTTCTTTTATTTGTCTTTTTGTATAAGTAAGAGATATATATCTTTCAGAACAAACTTAATTCAATTCTGTAGCTTTCTTTACTGCTAGATCAGCTTCTTTATTTCCATATATATTTACATGTGCAGGAACCCAATGAAGATGTAGATTAATTTACTGATTTTTAATAGACTTAGCAGTTTTACTTATAGATTGAAGATAATATAAGCCAGAATTAAGATCTTAATTTATAAGTCTCTGAATAGCAGCTTGACTATCAGAAACACTCAGATATCTGATATTGATTGTAATTGAGACTGAGAGATAGAACTTGCTAATTTAAATACTTTATTTATAGCAAACAGTTCTGCATTAAAGACTTTAAGATATTTTTCTAGATTCTATGAAAATCTAATATTATCTTGTAGATTGTATACACCAGCACCAGCATATTAACTTTCTTCAGCTTTGAATCTATCTGAATAGAGAATTAAAGATCTATTATCTAGATTTTTAATTCTATTTATGTAACTATCTTTAGCTGTTTTCTTGTCTGAATTTTCAATTTGAATATCTATCAAATTAGCTAGATTTTCAGACCAAGGTGCATTTTATTTTGCTTTGATTCTCTCTGTTTTTAGAGAAGATAATATATTTGAAATTATTGAACAAATTCTGAATAGTTGACTTGAATATCTCTTTTGTTTATTGATTTTTCTTTTTTTTCTTTTTCTTTTAGTTGATGTTTGTACAACATATTCATTATTTAATTCTGATTAATTTCAATCTAAAAGCCTTTCTCAATCAAGATCAACACCATTATTATAAGATGGAAAGCTAGAAGATACTCTTTTTCTGATTGCATATTCTTCTGGCATTTTTAATAGTCTATAAGCATAGTTTCTATATAGTCTATTAAATCTTACTTTAGCAGGAGGAATAGCAGCTTCAATCTCTATAGCATAAATTGGAGAAGTTTTAAAATCTCCTAGAATCTTCATTAAAGCAAAGTTTTGAAGTTTCTCATACTTATAAAGAAGATTCTTTTGATTCTTCCACCAAATCTGAACATTATAATCAGCTACTGAAGTAATACAAGCTATATAAAGTTGTCTCATAGCTTGAAAAGTAAGACTTTTTTCAGTATTTGAAAGTCTGATTATTTGATTAAGAACTCTTTCAGCAGCTGATATCTTAATTTTAATATGATTCTTAAAAGTAAGAGTATTGTTAAGCCAAATACCTAACCATCTTACTAGCTTTTTTGGTTTAAACACTTGATCATGTAGTTTAACTGAGTTATCTTCACTAAATGATTTAGTAAAGTAGATTAACTCAGTTTTTTCCATATTAAATTGAACTACATGAGAATCTTATCTATTAGACATTACTTGTAAAGCTTTATCTAACTTAAAGTAGTTTTCTTCTAATAAGAAAGAGAAGACAACAAGTTCAGTATTATCTATATAACTAGAAATTCTGATATCTTTAAGATCTAGATCATTATTATTCTTAAAAAGAAATATAGTATATATAGAGAAAAGTATTGGATATAGAGATGAATCTTAAGAAATTCCAATATTTATAGATATTTTTTCTTGTTGTTTCTCACCATCAAAAATCAGTTAGATTTTTCTTGTTTGCATAAAATGAAAAATCCATATAGCTAGTGATTTAGGTAGTTGCAAATCAGAGAAGACCTTTAAGAGTCTATTTAGTGAAACATAGTCAAATGCTCCTTTTATATCAATAAAAAGAGCTGAGGTTACCAATTTATTGACTTTTGCTAATTAAATATCATGTACTAAGCTTATTACAGCATCTATAGCAGAGCATTGCTTCTTTTCTCCAAACTGATCAAAATATAGTAGTTTATTTTAGAAGGCCCAATAAGAAAGTCTAGAAGTAATAACTCTCTCTATAACTTTTTCCAAGCAGTTAAGTAGAGAGATGATTCTGTAAGATTTTGGTAATAAAGCTTTTCTATTTAGTTTCTTTAGAATAACCCCAGTAGCTTCTCTTCAGATTTCTGGATGATATCTCTTTTCAAATAGTATAGAGTATAACTTGAAAAATCTATCTTTAAGTACTGGATAGATTTTTTGTAGTATAAGAAAGGATATACCATCTGGGCCAGGTGTACTAGTTTTGGAGCCTGAAAAAATAAAGTTCTTGATCTCTATTTCTTGAAGATTAGGCCATTTCTAATCTGGATTTTCATGATATTCATTCCAATTTATTGGTGGATAACTTGGTGGTTCTCTGAAAAGAGTTTTTATAAAAGCATTGCATTTCTCTTTAAATGAAATAGCTTTATTTTCTATTTCATTTTCAGAGTTTGAGAATTTTAGAATAGAAGTTTTTTTCTACTCTTTTTTCTTTGATATATTTATATGCTTTAAAAATCTCTTTTTCTTGAGCATTTTCCAGAAATTCATTCCAACAAGATGACTTTGCCTCTTTAATAGCATTAAAGTAGTTATTTCTAGTTTGTTGAAAGAACTCTAAGCTAACTTGCTTATTCTTCAGTTCTCTAAAGGCTTTTGTTATAGCTTTTCTCTTGATTTT